TGTTTGACAGCACGACAGACTGGCCATGAGTCGGCGTTTCTGCGCTACCGTCGGCAGAAGCCGTTGGGCTAAGTTTGAAAAGGGAACGAGGCCAGGGCTCCCGGCAGAAGGTAGCATGGTTGCGGGGAAGAAGCACACACCGTTCTTTGGTTCATCGGACTTCCCGTCTCGCCCTCGCAAAATGGCACGAGAATGCCTTACTTGGTGGGACTAAGACCCGGGGGCATGGCACGATATTGTCCAGCCGGCTGAACTTGATAGACCGAAGAGAGGCAGCTATGGATACGGATACGTGAAGCCTAAGTAGCTCACCAGGCTCACCCACAGCTTCGGGGCCGTAGCCTTCACCGTTGCGTGGTTCTAGAGGCGGCCGCGGCGGCTTCACCGCATGAGACGGCGTTGCCGCTTCCGGCGTCGAATTTCGACGGCTGCGGCCACACGAGGAACCAATCAGCCCTCCGGGTCACCACAGTCGAGCTCGACCGGCCTCTTGTCTCTCATCGGCGATGCACAGAAAATGACGGTGGTGGTACAAGTCACGGTTGCTTTTTCAGACTTTGTAAACCGGGATGCTTTCCTTTGGTCTACACCCCATCACATCTCATTCTATACGGGTAGGATAGATACTCTGCACTTCCAACCATATTTTTTGCAACGGGCCGACAGGAAGATTGACACAATTCGCACTGCCGCTCAATGCAACGCAAAGTCAAGCAGTGGAGGAGATAGGATTGGTGCGTCCACTGCATCCATGGTTTCCGTTCTACGACACCACAATTGTGTTAGCTGCGCTGGTCCTGCGCAAGTGGTGGTTGCTGTCTTCGGCGACAGTTCCATCGGCGTGAAGAAACACACACTACGAATAGAACAAATCATCGAAACCCTTGTCCACAGGGCTACACGTCACATTTGCAGGGTCTGATCGGAGAAAGAAATATACTTTTGCCGGACGTCTGGTCTGTTCCATAACGGGCAAAAGGTGGGTTCGAGCCCATCTCATCTGGTCGGTCTGCCTATGGGGATCGACTCAGGCATGCTGCCGTCGAGCCTGAGGGATGCCGCGGCTCGAGTTTGCCGTTTCTTCTTTTCTTCTTTTTGATTTTCCTTTCAGATTGGCTTTGGGGTCATAGTTTGGTAGCGAAATGTATCTGCCGCAGTATGGTCAGCGGCCCCTCGAAGCTCCGGGGCCGGTTTGGTCTGGTGAGATGAGGTGATGGGAGCTGAAGTCGGCTATGTATTGAATCATTTGCCCAACTGACCATCGGCGGCGACGTAGTCCATTCATTCGCATGCCTGGAAGAAGTCAGTCAGTCCCTTAGTTTGGCATTGGCGGCGGCATGGACAGGTCTGGTTGCCGGGATGCCATATGGAAGGTCGGCATGCTTTGGTTCTAAGACTACGGACACACACTACTAATCAACTAATTCGCCCACAGCGTATTGTGCATCCGTACAATGCCTTTGAACACCAGGCCAGGCGTCTTACCGAATTACCTATGTACATACTGCACTCCCGCTCCGTACCATGGTCGATTCAGGGTATCGTATACTGACAAGGATGTGTCGGGATGTCCCAGCCCGGCCAAGAACGGCGGTGTCCCTGGCCAGTCCGATTCCGATGACCAGGAATGCAGCAGCTGGACTCTGTGACTCTGCGACTCTGCACACTAGCCGGAGAGGCAAAGCTACGGTAGATGACGGTGTCGACATGCCGCGAGAGGCATTTGGATGTGGATGCGTACGAGTAGACGAACGTGGTGTAAGAAGCGAGAAAAAGGGGGCATGGAGTTTTAAAATTGAGGTAAACTACAGATGGAGGAGCCTTTTGATGCAGATTCATTCGATTCGTCGCCAAGCCCAAGGTCCAGAGTACTTGACCATAAGAATGTTATTACGGAGTAATTACTTTGGTAATGGACGGATAGACAAAGTAAAGTACTCCGTAGGAGGAAGGCAAATAAGGGAAAGAAGGGCATTGTTTAGGATCTATTCCTCCCTCTTCCTTCCATTGGCGCTATCCCTCGGGTCCCTCCGATATTGCTACCATCAAAGCATCCTCGTCAAATGTCTCTCCTCCTCTCTGAGTCCAGTCTTTCTCTCTCTGCTCCCGTCACCTTTGAACGACATGGGACTTTTTTATTTTTTATTTAACACATGCACAATTTTTTTTTGGTTGGTTCCTCCTGGATCTCCCGCTCCGGCCCCCAAAAGTGGCCCCCCCCCTTGGATCTGAGGTACCTTGGGCCCTCCCCTCCTCCAATCCAGCCAGCCCCGTTCTTGCCTTTTTTGACGGGGATCTGGACATGCAGAACGGACGAGAGAACCCCTCCTTCCTCCCCTCCAAGCCCCCCCCCCCCCCCGTCTCCTTCCATGTTCCCCTCCGACAATTTTTTAGTCGGCCGCTCTCAGCACCTGGCTTGCGGCTTGCGGCTTTACCTGGAGACTGGGAGTCTAGGACAGTACCTCACCTCGCCATAGACGGGACTGACCTATCTAATCTTAAGCGCACCCCCACAGTCACATTGCACACACACACACACACACACACACACACACACACACACACACACACACAACACATCAACTTCTCACTAACTTATTATCTGTTCTAGTCCTCACTAAAAAGAGTCCAGCCCACCTCACGCTGTCTCGTCACTTTATTATTCTGGACTCCCGCCTCACGCTTCCTTTCCCCTTTCCTCTCTGGTCGGGTCTCTGTTTGTCTCTCCCTCACGTCACGACACGCCCACGTTGCATCTAGTCAAGCCCAGCTCTCAAGTCAAAGCCCAAGCCCGGCACGGCACGAACACTGTCAGACCTGAGCAATTGCAACGCCCTCTACGCACACTCTCCTTGTACCTCACCTTACAAAAACCCTGTTTGCGCTCTCTCAGCCATCTTCGTCAGCTTCGACTTGCCCAACCCAGACAGGCACCTTCACCTTCTCCACTGTCATACATACCTTCTTCAATTGGAAGCCTCGCCGTAGTGCACAACTCCTACCAACTTGGTACAGCGGCACGTCCCCTGCGCGAAATCGACTGTAGTATTAACGAATCGAGAGACATCTGTTAGGATGACCTCTCACGGCACTTTGAAGGCGACCTTCGCCGGACGCGCCGAATCCGCCAGCCATCCGCTCACAGCCTACCTCCTCCGATTGATGGACTTGAAGGCTTCCAACCTTTGCCTCAGCGCCGACGTCCCCACCGCAAGAGAGTTGCTTTACCTTGCCGACAAGGTCGGACCTTCCATTGTTGTGCTCAAGACACATCACGACATCGTCTCCGGCTGGGACTTCAACCCGCAAACTGGTACTGGCGCTAAGCTTGCCGCACTAGCTCGCAAACATGGTTTCCTGATTTTCGAGGATCGCAAGTTCGGCGACATTGGCAACACGGTCCAGATGCAGTACGTCGCTGGATCCGCAAGGATCATCGAATGGGCTCACATTATCAATGTCAATATGGTTCCGGGCCAGGCCGCTGTCACAGCTCTCGCAGAGGCTGCCGCAAGATGGCGCGAAAGGTATCCCTACGAAGTCAAGACATCGGTTACGGTTGGAACACCGAGGTCGGAGAGCTTCGACGATTACGATGAGGACAACAACGGGGACGGCTTTGAACATACCATTGGCACCCCCCGACCATCCGACGTCAACGGACGAAAGGGTAGCATTGTCTCCATCACGACCTTGACACAACACTTCGAACCTGCGCCTTCCCCTCGATTCCCGAGAAACGAGTCCCACAGCTCTGACGAGGTCCTGTACGCTGGAATCGAAGAGGCACCCATGGATCGCGGTCTTCTCATTCTGGCGCAAATGTCCAGTGCTGGCAACTTCATGAACAAGGAGTATACCCAGGCTTGCGTCGAAGCGGCCAGGGAAAACAAGAACTTTGTCATGGGCTTCGTGTCCCAGGAGAGCCTCAACACCGAGCCGGAGGACTCTTTCATTCACATGACACCGGGATGCCAACTGCCGCCGGAAGGTGACGAGGAGAACGGTGCCGTTGCGGGTGACGGCAAGGGACAGCAGTACAACACGCCTCAGAAGCTTGTTGAGCTTTGCGGCACCGATGTCGTCATCGTTGGTCGCGGTATTCTGAAGGCGGGTGATCCTCAATCGGAGGCCGAGAGATACCGCAGGAAGGCTTGGAAGGCCTATCTCTCCCGGGTGGCATAGGCGGTTCGTCTCCTACACAAACATCCACACCCTCCACCCTTCACCCTCCTCCACCTACCCACCACACTCATACACACCCCCAAGTCAATACCCAGGCGTGTTTTTTTCTATCGTTTTTTCCAGTCGTACCGACGTCGGGGGGGGGCTCTTATGCCATATTCTCTAGGGTGCTGCTGCTGGTTCATGCATATTCGGTCTTGCAATGGTATTCATATCGTAGAGGATGGGGATTCGGACTCGGCACTGAGGCGATTTCTTAGACGGGGGGACTCGGCGACCGGGAAGACGGGCACAAAACAAAAAAAGGGATCGGCGTTGAATTTCTGCGGGTTCTACAACTGTAGGTCTTGCATGCGGACAGTTGCAGTTCATATATCATTCAAATGACAGTCTCTGCCACGTTTTACTTGTCTGAGTATGGTCCTTGCCTCGATCTCCAAGTCTGCTGCATACCCTCTGGATCGTGAGCAAACCCGTCCGCAGTATCCATCGATCTTTTTTCTCGAGGTGTGGCAGCGGTTCACTGGGTGTCCGGCTGCTGCTGCTGCTACCTACCGTTCTTTCTGAGTAGCTCGCTCTTACTCGGTTCACAGATCAGGTCAGATCCCTACTCCAGTCAAGGTGTCGGTGATCGGCTATTGAAAAAGCATGTACCTGAGCTACCTTGAACTGCCGTTGATCGCAACCTTCTATAGCTTCATGGTTCTGCGACAAGCTGACGGTAAAGTAAGTTCTCGACGGCATGGTGTGCGGCATGTGGCATCCAAGCATGTTACTGCAAAACATGGCACGGGCAAGGGAAGGGGAGACAGGGAAGGGGAGACAGGGAAGGGGGGGTGGTTGAGAATGTTCGCCCATACGGATAGCCTATAGGCGATTGGACAACGGACTTTGGCGGACAATGGGCAAAACTCCTAAAGCCGACGAGATGACTTTGGGTCCTGGGGAGACGGGGCCAGGTCCGATCTGAAGGCAGAAGAACTATGCGTATAGTTCTATTACCCCATTACCTTTAGGAGTCTACTTTGTACAGAAACAGAGACACACATAGGGAGCAGAGGAGAGGAGAGGACGGGTCGGCGGGCAAGGTTCCCCGGGATGCGACATGTTCTCTCCAAGTCCCGCGATGTGATGAGGTGCGAGATTCGAAAAAAAAGAAAGAAAAAAAAAGAAGGCTATTATTCCCCCCAAACCAAAAAAGATGGTACACGAATTTAAAGCTGAGCAGTGCACCGTTGCCACGCGCACTAAGATCAAGCAAGGGGCCAGCCGGTGCACACCTCGCACAGCACGTACTTAACTTCCATACTGCCGCACAGCGCAAACACACAACGCCATACGTCCGTAGGGAAAGTAACGAATACCAGAGCATCATCGCACTAGCAGCCTTTTTTGCCTCTTAAGACGACGACCGCCGACGGATCGCTGACGCTGGCTACGAAGGGCATTGGTGCGACAGACGGGATCCATGAAGGCACATTGGCCGTGTGTTGGAAAGTAGGACGTTGGGACGTGAGAGGAACGTGGGACGTGAGAGCCGTGGGATGAGATCTCTCTCTCTCTCTCTCTCTCTCTCTCTCTCTCTCTCTCTCTCTCTCTCTCTCTCTCTCTCTCATCTCACATTGATTTTTCGGCGCGCCGTGCCCCTGTCGGCACGCTGCCGGCCCTACCCCTCCACGCCGTGTGTTTCCTATTGTTCGGGTCCCCTTCCTAAGGTACCTCCTGAAAAAAGGCGATCCGCGGAAGACGATGGCACGATGCTTTTTTCTCCTTCTTCCTTACTCCGACTATTACCAGCCTAGGCGAACGCGAACGGTGCGGAACGCGGGTTTCTTCTTTCTTGCTTGCCGCCATGACCTGCAGAAGTCTGTGTGTACAGGAAGCCGGAGGAAATTCCCATATGGCTGCCTGGTGTTGTCGTGCACTCTCCCCCCAAGAACCTCCAAGACCTCTCTCAATGTGACCCCCCCCCCCCCCCCCCCCAAGCTGCCGATCCAAAGTGTCGAACGATACTCCGTACTGAGAGAGTCCAGTTAGGGGTGTAATCCATGTCGGCAAAGGCTAGAAAAGCTTGGGCGGATTGACGATGGGACAGCTGCAGGTGCAGCAAATCACAAAACAGCAGCTAGCTGTCTTGGGAGCATCGTTGCGTGACGGTTGACCCTAGGGGCCGGCCGTTCGTTCCGTCGGTGTCGTCAGAGTAGGTATGATGAGTTCCAGGGGAGTGGTGGGATGGATGGACCATGGATGGTTGAAATGGATTTTTGGATCTGATGTTTTTGTTGTCGATGGGCTTTCCGTATGGTATGGTACTTTGTCCCAAGGTTGGTCGGTACATTTGCCTACTAGTACTTACCTTTTCGCGTGTCATCACATTACATTAGCCATATCCAAGTGCCGGCCGGACGTGTAAGAAAAGTATGGGGATTTAGAAAACGCCCTTTGACGACGGGAGTTTCTTATTTTCTTCTATCCTTTGGAGCTTTCAGGGAATGCTACCCATTATTGCACCTTAGACCTTACCAAGAATCGAAAAGGGCAAAACGAAATACCCTTACAAGTTACAAGCTACCTTACCTTACTGTGTACCTACTCCGTAAGGTAGAGAGACAGGATCAACTCCCGGCCCCACAATCGAACACCGCCGGCCACATGCCTTGCCTTGCTCTTGCCGCAGACCTGGACTGGAACTGGAAGGAGCGCAACTGCCAGCACCAAGTGCTTGCTTGCCCTTTGCAGCAAGTTGAGTGAGCTGTGTGTGAGAGACAAGTTGAAGCCTACCTTACCTACGGATACCTTACCTAGGGAAAGAGCGAGTGCCTGTCACTTCTGGACCCCGGTTGCCCATATTTACGAATACGCTCACCATCGTCTTTTCCAACCCCGATCGAATTACCAACAAACACCGTCTATCTACCTTACCTTACCTTACGCAGTAGCAGCTCTTTCTCACTGAGTGCGTCTCCAGCCCAGCATACCGGCATACCATTTGACCTTACTCAATTACCAGGTTCCGCTCTCATCCACACAGTGTCCCAGTGTGAGGCGACATCTGCTTCGCTCGCCGACGAGAGTCACAGGTTGATCGTGGGCGGGTCCTGTTTTCCAACTTTTCCCACCCATTCTGCTTCCGTAATCGTCCATCCCTCCTCCCTCCATCTCTTCCGGCAGCTATTACCACGAGGAAGAACGACCGAGATCAACATTTCCCGGGTTTTCTTACGTGTTCCGCCTCTCTTCTGTTCCAATCTAGGCTTTGCGCCTGTCTGCGCGACTCTACGAAGGATACTCAGACGCCCAGCCAACTCCATCAACCCACGTGCCGAGCTCGCGGCGAAATTCAGGCGGCTCCCACTTTGCGGACCGAATACCCTGAATCACTGACACAACCAATCCCCGAGGCGGCGACGGCGCCGACAATTCGAGAACGTCGTGCCGTTCCCCGAGTGCGCCTTCACGAACACCACCATTCAACAACCACGTCCCCCACATAGTATTCACCGTATATACGCATAAACACACATTTACGGCGGCCGACCATGGCCGACGACCGGCGTAACAGCTCCGAGAAACCACCCTCGGCGCGGGATGGTCAGAACTCGAGCACAAGTCCAACTCAAACACCGACCCAATTGCAGAACCAGACGCAAGACGCCCGACCGCCGCCCAAGAAGCGCAGACGTGTGGTGATTTCTTGCACGGAATGTCACCGACGAAAGCAAAAGGTTGGTTTGCTATGCCTTGCCCGCAACAATTGTCCCTCCGCCATTGCAATTTGTAGCTGACACATTTTCTGGTGCGCAGTGCGACCGAGACCTCCCATGCGCCAACTGCAAGTCGCGCAACAAACAGGATGCTTGCAAGTACGAAACGGGCGCACCCACGGCGAAAGACAACCGTAAGCCGGACGGCGAGGGCGCAAGATCGACACACGTCCAGAGCCTCTCCAATGCCGCCGCGAACTGGGGCTACTCGCAAGCTGGAGCTTCCACGCTCGGTCTGATGAGGAAAATCGAAAGCGCCAACGGTGACGGCCAATTGTCGCATCTCGGCGGCGCAGCCCACGTCGAAGACCAGTTCGCGACAAAGGAGCGATACAAGTCTTTGATCAGGCAGTTGCCGGCAAAGGGGTATATTGAAAAGCTCATCGACGTATACTTTACCGAGTTCAACCACCAGTACTTTGCTCTCGAGGAGGATCTCTTCAAGGAACAGTTTGCCGAGTGGTCCAACATTCCCTTTAGCGTGCTTTCCAACTCTGGACCACAGGGTCTCTCGCCCGATCTGCGAGTCTTTCCTGCGCTGCTCTTCCAGGTATTGGCGACGGCCTTGTTGACTCTGCCGGAAGGGTCGCAAGACTTTTACGACCATCTCAAGTATGCCGGGAACATGACTTTCGAGGACCTTGCCGCGGACTACAGCGAATCTGGCGTTGGCATTTTGTCACTGCTTGGTAAGCGGCAAATCACGCTCACAACAGTCCAGGCCGACTTTCTTCGAGCTGCGTTTCTCAAGTACATGGCAAAGGTCACGGAATCGGTAGGTGAACTCCCGTGCGTAGCTCAAAGCTATCAGAAAGCTAATGATGAGTACAGTGGCATGCCATTGGTAGCGCTATTCGAGATGCTCAAGAGATTGGCATGCACCGGGATAGCCTGGATCCTTCCCCGGCCAGCGATGACACTGGAGATATGCTCGAGAACATGTGGCTGATTCAGCGGAGGAGAAAGCTTTACATGGTCCTCATGACATGGTGAGCAATTGCCGGACGGCAAGGATGGCTATTCATGACTCGGCTGACACCGGCCAGGGACATCCACTGTGCGCTTGTGCTAGGACGTCCTGGCAGCATCGACTGGCGTATACTCCCGCCAAGTCTGCCAATAGACGCGCCTCCGCCAAAAGACCGCCGCAAGACGCCCATTGCGCCAAGGGATGACGAAAGAGATCCTCCAACCCCGTTGACTAAAAGCATATGGGCTTTCAAGCTCGTCGGTCCAATGCGCGAGATTCTGGAGCTCGAACATGACGGTCCGTGTCCGAAAGACTACTCCAAGGTCGACCGGGTGCACCAAATATGTATGGAACTCGACGAGGCAACGCCCGCATACTTCCGCCTGGAGAATCCGGACACGAAATGGGACGGTAACCCTTCGTGCTCCTGGCTGCAGTCAGTGCGGTTTTACCTGCCGCAGATGAATCTGTTCAATCTGATGGCGCTGCACCGACCCTACATCTTTAACAGGCAGAAGAGTCGGACAGAGGCGCTCAAGGCCAGCATTGAAATGTTGCATCGACAGATGCTCACATTTCAAGGCCTCGACGCTGGTTCATGGCGAAAGTAAGTCTTGTGCATCTCCTAATCGGATATCGACTGACAAGCGCATTCAGTTTCTCGCTGTTCTTTGGCAGCTTTGACGCAGTCGTGCTCATGGCGTCGATTTATATCCTATTCCCCAAGGAGAACCTGGATATGGCAGGCAGCGCCATGCAACACTTCCACTGGACAACGGAGAGGTTTGAAGCGATGCAAGAGAGAAATCCTCTTGCGAAGGCGGCAAAGGGTGTTCTCCAGGCGATATTTAATAAGTTTAAGAAAGCAGTAGGAAACCCGGCGCCACCAGCGAGCCTGTCGAGCCTGGCGTCCCAGACAACCCCGGCGTCAACGGCGGACAACAGCAGTCTATCCGGCCGCGGATCGGTGTCAACGACCACAGCGGCCACGGCAGATACGCCAGTGAGCAAGAGTAGCACGGTGGCGACGCCGACATCATTGCCCATGGCATCAGACACGGCATCGACGTACCCTCTGCCAACATCTACCTCGGACTGGAACATACCCAATAGCTGGGATTTTACGTCGATTGCGCCGCTGTTCCCGATGGGAGACCTCATTTACCACGATCTTAACGGCATACCGGATGACGGATCTCTGCCCGCATGGGGAGCCGCGACACCGCCACCGCCAGTGGCCGGAACAACATCATTTGAAGGAGATTTTGGGAATGACAGTGTGTGGAACTTGCTAAACCAGTACGACCCGTCATCTGTTTGAGCCCCTTGCTACGTACGTTATATGGAAGACTGAGGAACCATGTTTGAACCGGACAGAAACAAAGGCCATTTAGGGACATTTAAGCCTGAGCCGCTCGCCTTTAAGTCGGAGTAAGATATCCGTAACACCTGGAAGAGGGAGCGAGGGGTGTCGATATTGCGGTAGCAGAGGGAACAGGGACGGCAAGGCGTTTTTTAGGACGTTGCAGGTGAGAGTCGAAAAAGAGATGGTGAAAAGGTCGCGGCCTAGCGGCGGTTGAGTGCATGACTTTGAGTTGTTGTCATTGGCTGCACTTATTGGTGGGTTGATTTGGAGTTGAGAAGTTGAGCGCCTTTCGAGACGATTGATTTACAGCTGAAGGGCAGGCACCCCTGCCGCGATGGGGGATGCTGGCCAGTCAGGAGGATCCCGCCCTCTGTGAGGTGGGGCACCGGTAGGGGATTAGCGCCAGCGGAGAAGGAGCAAGCTGCTCTGCCAGTGCCTGCTTACCGGTTCCGTGGTGCCTCGCAAGTTGTCGCTAAAATGGCATCTCATGCACATGCGGTGGATAATCAGTCGAGGTGCAGGCCAGGCACATTGCAACACACATCGCAGCCATTGCTAGGTAGTCGTCAGTCAGCAGGTAGCCAAAAATTGGTCGAGGCAGATACAACGAGTATGCATTGATGACCAAATATACCCTATTCATATCCTGACTGTATGATTGCTATCATGTCCACGTCCTAAGGTACCCAAGTTCATTTGTGTGTCGCTCGGCGTACCGGGGAATGGAAGCGTGTCGCCGGTGTCTTGCGGGATGGAAGGTACGCATATTCTTGCGGCCTATGACGATTGGGACCAGCGGTAAATTTTTTTTATTTTTTTTCGTATGCCAGTTTGACAATTTTTTCCGGGGTCCAGACAGTACGGCACCAACACCATACAGGAAGGGGGAAAAATCAATTTGCGCCAGCCAACGACTTGTGTTGTGGCGTGTCTAACATCTTATCGGACGCTTGCTTTTTTGCATTTGCAATTATCTTCCCACCGATTCTCTTAATTCCCTTGTGAATTTCCCCATCTCTTGACAAGTCTACCCGTACTTTTGATCAAGAAGTTTGCCTCCGCCATCCAATACCATCCATCACACTCCTCGGCCAGTGAGCGCTCATCCTGCCTTCCGTCTCCCGGGTCCCAGCAGATCGATATACAGGAATCCGGTCCTGGCTTCACCGCTTCCTGTCACTCTCTCTACTGTCAGGTATCGATTGGGAGAGAAAGCAGACAGCACGCAACAGACGACTGGCATCTTAAAATCCCAAACCAGTTTGTTGCTGCGTTGTTCCGTCTCGCAGATCCGTCCGTAATATTTGTTCGTTTCTTTCCACCTTATACATAAAACCGTCTTATTGACCCTTATTCGTAAAGTGCGAAGGAGAAAGAAGCTGGGATTTTTTCAAATTTTAATTTTTTTTTAAAAAAAAAAATCTCTCCGGCGCCCACCGTTTATTGACTTAACTCGTCTCAACCTCAGACATATTCGTACTACGCCCTCTCACCCAAGACCCCCATCCACCAACCAACCTTCGTCCTGAATCCTGGTCTGGTCGAATCCCGATCCTACCCCATTGTCTCTCGTCTTGCCTGGCGTTGCATTGCCTTCCTAGCCTCTGCTCGCTTTCTCGAGACGCACCATCAGAGGCTTTTTGGCATTACCTACTTCACCTCCAACCCGTCGTCACACCTCACCTTTTCAGCCCTCAGGCACTACCTACCTTTACTTGCCTACAACTTTTGCCTGGATCAACCATCTTGAACGTCGTCTCCAGCCCCCAAACTCCAGCCCTGTCCGGCTATCAACCTTATCAATCCCATCGCCGATCCACGAGAGACGTGAGCTGCGCTGAGGTAGCCTGAGTGCTTGTCTCTCTTGTCTTTGGCTGCATCTCACTTTGCTTTCCCATTCTTACACTTTTTGTTACCTACCCACCTGTCTTGGCTTCTTGCCTTTTACGACCCTCAATTTTCTCATTGCAGCTCACGCAAAGCTCTGGATGTGAAGAAAGGGTTTAGCCACAAAGATCCTTTCCCCATACCAACACACACCAGCAGCCTACCTACGCGATTCTCCTACATTGCACACGAACCTGGTCAATAGGTTACCTCACCTCACCTCGCCTCTCATATATCGCCTTCCAGAATAGACGTAATCTGCTACGTACTGGCTAGGCACATTTCTTGCTACAGCAACACCTGCAGCAGGGCACACCATCTGCCTGATCCGGCTGGGCCATCGCACCAAAGCATCACAAGCACAAGAGGCAGGCACGGTACTTTCACTTTTTATTTTTATTTTTTATTTTTATTTTTACTACCCAAGCACCACCTCAAGCACCAAACTCATCCACACGTCCCGTCCAAGCACAACACACATACACGCACACTCACTCTCACTCACTCACTCACTCACTCTCGCTCACTCACCCACCTACCGTACCTGCACCTGCACCTGCACCCCGGCGCCAATAGAGAGTGCTCCAGTCGAGACCACCGCCGCGACTTGTTGCTTTTTCTCTTTGGCACACAAGGACTGCAGCGTCCGCCTCACCTTCCCACTCTTCCTGCTTGGGCTCTTTCGATTGTTATTTTGTTCGCTGAATCTAACTGGCGGCAGAAAAGAAGCAGCTCTCACTCAGTCAGCCCAAGGGCAGTGGGAGAAAAAGAAAAAGAAAAAAAAGGAACAAGATGCCCACCACCACTCATACCACGACCACCCGGTCGCCTTTTGACACCAACAACCTGGGCATCAACACCAACAATTCGGCCCCTGTTCTGCCACCTTACCTTCGAGCCAGTAGCCAGTCTCCGTTGCATTCTTTTCCTTTCTCGCTGAGCAACACCTTTCCTTCGGCCATCGGAACAGGCATTACAAAAGAAAAATCGTCAACCAAAATGGCCTTGGATAATTCAGAGATCATGGACTTTGTCACTCGCTATCAGACCTTGCAGGGCTTCCAGAACGCCAGCGACCAGCTGATGAAGGTACGTTTACGCTTTCCACTTTCCCTCATTGTATGCCATTCCCTGCCCACCCCTTCCCAGTTGAATCTTCAGCGTCCTTTCCACGGCTTTTCTGCGTCTGCAGAGAGACCAAAGCTTCCTATTCCTTGCCCGGCAGGGTCCCGCAGCAAAGCCACCCCCGGATTGAGCTTGAGCTTTCTGATGGAGGTCGTCAACTTTTGCTACCGCGGCTACCTAGCTCCAGCGCCTGTTTGGCGTTGGCGCTGCAGCTATCATCATGGTTGACGCGCTTCGGCTGCTGATCCCCCTACTTCCCTCATCGCCACCGTTCCAAGCCTACACTCAACCCACCTGTACGAAACGCGACGAACTGCTGTTCCCGTCCATCCCAACATGGGACCGCCCCTCTGAACAAGGTTATGAACCTTGACCAAAGTTCCATTCCGCTAACCTCGTTTTGATTTTCCCACCCTACAGGATCTTTTGATATACTGCAAAGAAATTCAGGGCCAATATGCCGGTGAAAATCAAATGCTCAAGCAGGAGCTGCGTAATGCAAAGCTTGACCTCGAGCATGCCACCACTTCCAGAAGAGAGATGCAGCAGGTGCTGCAAGAGCTTGATTATGATAACAGCTACATGAAGGTAGATACCGGCGCCGTCTGCTGCCCAGCAGCTTTACCCCCGCCCTCTAACTTCGGAGTGACTAAACCTCGCAGAATCGCAATCCCTACGTCTTGATTCTAATTGATGGAGACGGACTCCTTGTACGTGGCCCCAACTGCTATCTCAGTTTATCGATGGAATGCTTACCGCGGCGCCCCTCACCAGTTTCAAGAATCGTTTATCAGACAAGGCATCGAGGGCGGCAAGCAAGCCGCCTACGCCCTCCGCACCGCTGTTGCCGAGTACGTTGGCAGCCAGTCGGGTGAGGTTGAAATCGTCGCCAAAGTTTGCGCCAATCTATCGGGCCTTGGACGTGCTATGTGCAGAGATGGCTGCCTCGACAGCGAGTCCGAGCTCAAGGAGTTTTCTTTGGGTTTCACCCAGGCCAAAGCTTCGTTTGATTTCATCGACGTCGGTCACGGTAAGGAACGTGCCGACTCGAAGATCAAAGGTGAGTTCTACTCAAGTCTAGATGGTATTGTGAAGTGACAGATGGGCTAATTTGATACCAGAGGCCACCCGTTGGCATTTGCGAAACTACAACTGCAGACAGATTTTGCTTGGCATTTCCCACGATGCGGGTTATGCCCCTTTTCTCGATGAGATTCTTCAGGATACAGATACTCGCTCGAGAGTCAGTCTAATTGAGGGCGTCGCCACGGTCAGAGAGCTGAAAAACACCAACGTTCATATCCTCGACCCGCTGCCCAGCCTTTTCCGAAACCAAAAGCTCATTGATAGAAGTATCGACCGCGCTTCTGAACGCGCCGAGGCGGCCTACGCCAGATCTTCAGCGGCGGCGGCGGCGGCTCCGACACCTTTCTATCCGGCTCCATCTAGAGCGTCTTCATCTTCGCCTGTGGTGGTTGTAGCTTCGCCGACCTCGCCTCCTGACACAGCGGTTACGACAGCTTCTTCTTCCTGGGCTGGAGTTACTGCCAAGGCAAGCCCGCCCCCAGTCATCACCACCCCGTTGGCCAATAAAGCTGCCAATGTTCCGGCTCGAAAGGCTACGGAGCCCAAAGTGTCGACACCGGCGTGGAACCCTGGCGAACGTGGCCTTGACGCTCCCATCCCCATCAACCCGACGGCTATGGACAACATTAAGAAACGAACGGGCAAGGACAAGCTGTGCAACAACCATTACCTGCGTGGACCTTGTGCCAAGGGCGACGAGTGCTGCTTTGAACACAAGTACAAGCCCAACGCGGATGAGATTAACGCCATTGCCCACTTGACTCGTCTCAACCCCTGCACCAGCGGTCAGGAGTGTGATGTAGACAACTGCATCTATGGACATCATGTAAGCTTCGATTTTCACCCTTGCGGAATGATTTGTGCTAACAAAGGTTACAGTGTCCCAGCATCACCGGAACCACCTGCACTCACCCGTTTTGCAAGTTCAGAGTTGAGGACCATCCACCTGGCACAAAGTTCAAGAATGCCAAGATTCACGAAAACTGAGAAGCTTTGAGGTACCGATTTTTTTCGGAGGGGAAGAGAGACAAAGGGAGGGAGAAGGAGAGAACTTGCGTTGGCACATGGATTAGCTATGGCACAGAGAGTTGTAGCTCATCTGCTGATGGTCTCCATACGTGCTGGGGTTGCTCCTGAGAATTTAATTTGTGTATGATTAGCTTGCTCATTGGCAATTTGAGCTTGCCACATGAGCTTCGTATAGCTATACATGAATAGCTGTTTTCTGAATATTGTCTACGCCAGATGCCCTCCTACAGTGCTTGAGGGGTTACCAGCCGTACATCAGAATCCTGGCCTTGCAAGGCCAACACCTGAGGCTCTTGGTATACAGGTCGGCTTTTTGCTCATATTGTCACCGTCGGATGAGGAGACCTGTTGGCGTAACAGTTGGGACTGCTCACTCCCGACCTCCGCGCCAGTAGCTCGACCCCCGGTGGCATCTATTTTTGAAGGTCGTTAGTTCGAATTCCCGATCAGACTTTTTTTTTTTTTTTTGCTAGTAAGATTTACCTTGCTTACTTACTCTTTTGATTTCCATGGAAAGGCGCCATGCTTACTTACTGATGATGTACAACGAGTCTCCGATTATATCTTCCTCCTTAAGCTACCCATGAGCTGAGGTGATGTGATGCCCTGTGCCTGTCTGCCGAACCCCAGCGGGATAGTGGACCCCGCCACTCCCAGCCCAAACCCCACCACGAACCGTGGTCTTGCAACCCCACACCCGCCGGCCAAAATCCCAGAGTGGACTAGCAGAGAGAGCCTCCTCTTCAATCGACAACTGTATCCTCACCTCACCTCACCTTTCCCACGTCAGGTCCCAACCACCACCAACGACGACAACGACGAAAAGCACCCGAAGCGGACCTCATTTTAGAGTCACGAGCTCAATCGGATACAACAAAACAAGTGGCGACCACTAATAACCCCCCCCCCCCCCCCAAGACAAACCACAACCATGTCGCACCCACGCATAGAAGAGGTCGAAGACAGCGACCTCGAGGCATCAGACCCCTCCGAGGGCGACATTGACGACTTTGCCGACAACGACATCATGCGCCGCGTCGAGCCCAAATCAGCATCCCGCGCACCGCAGATAAACCCCTCCACCATCCCCCCCGCCGCCGCCGCCAACCCAAACCCCCGCGGCGCCTCCGACTTCCAAACAACAGTCGACCAGAAACAATACGCAGACTTCCAGTGCCTCTACCCAATCTACTTTGACGCCCGCCGCACCCGCGCCCAAGGCCGCCGCGTCCCCAAATCCCTCGCCGTCGAGAACCCCATCGCCCGCGAAATCGTAAACGCCTGCGCCGCCCTCCGCCTCCCCACGCTCTTCGAGCCCGCCAAATTCCACCCAAAGGACTGGGCGAACCCGGGCCGCGTCAAGATCCGCACGCGCTTCGCGGGACAAACGGGCCCGGACGGCGGGAAAGCCAGCGCCGCGAGTCGGCCTGCGGGGTCGCAGGAGGTCAAGAATAAGCACCACCTGTACATCCTCGTCGCGGAGCACCTCAAGCGCAACCCGACGACGGAGGAGAGCCCCGCGCTCAAGGCGCGCGTGCAGGGCGCGCCGGCGCATGACCCCAGTAAGCCGTGGCCTAGGCCTGCTGTCCCGCGAGGTTGGAAGATGGGCGAGCTGTTGCCGTATATCAGTCCCGCCATGACGGGCGGCGGTGTCAGCGAGAATTTGTTCAAGGATATGATGAAGGAGATGCAGGGGGGTGGGGATCCGATGGCGGCGTTGATGCAGCAGGCTCAGGGAGGTGCTTTGGGCGGCGGTAGTGGTGCTGGTGAGGACAAGGCTGGGAAGAAGAAGAAGGGCAAGGGCAAGGCTTGATTGAGGCCCGGGTATTGTCAGTCGAGAGAAAGAGAGAGCTTGTCAGGGGTTATCTCATTCAAGGAGTCGTCGGGTCCTAGGCATTATCATGAAAAGTTAGACCACGGACAACGGCCAATGGTCAACAGTCAAACGACATCACGGAGGTACAAAGGGGGTCGTAGAGCCGAGCCAAAAAAGAAGCCCAATCAGAGCATGCTAGACTTGAAGAATAAGGTCGGGATTCAGGGGTATTTAACATCCTACTAGTCCTTCTACCACATCGCATCGCTTCCATGATAATCATACTGCCGCCAGTCGGCCCTGTATCCCCTCCCACTCGCGCGATCCCACAATCTGCACATCCCTCCCGCCGCCGGGCACCATCTTGCCGTCCGCGTCCGGCAGACGAATCTGCAATCTCGCCGCTACGCTCTTCATCATCTGCCTCTTCTCCGCCGCCGCACCATCCTTGCGTCCCAGTACGACCTCTGACTTCTTGAGCACCGAGTTCCGCCAGCTGTTCCACGCCGCGAGGTCCTCCCTCTGCTTGGCCGCGTGGTACTGCGGCGTGCTGCGCGCGGGCTTCCACGCGAGCTTGTCCTCCGGCAGGGATGCAAGGTCGTAGACACGGGCGGACGTTGTGAATTTGACCAGCTCGCTGAGAACGTCCTTGCCCTCCGCCACAACGAGGGCGCGGCGCTGCTCGACGACGGACGGCGACTTGGTGAGCGGCTCCGCCAGCCAGTCGTAACTGTGCTGCTCCGTCGTCCTGGCGCGCCTGTTGTCCTCGCGGAGATATCGCACGGCAGCCTGCAGGCTCGCAATCTCGCTCTTGAGAGCATCCATCTCGCGCGCCGTGGCGACCGCCCGCTCCTGACCGGCCTTGGCGCCCGCTGCACCGGCACCGTCGGCGAAAGCTTTGCTGTCACCGGCAATCTTTTTCCACTTGTCGCGGTCTGTCTCCAGCGTCTTGAGCTCACGGTCTTGCTTGTCAATGTCCTCGTTGAGACTGGCAGCCTTCTGCTTGGCAGCCTCGATCTGCGCCTCGAGATCCTCGATGCGGGAAGCCTTGGCATTAGCATCCTTCATCCTCGACTCGAGGGTCTCAATCTTGAGGTTGGCAGTGCTGAGGTTCTCGTCGCGCTGCGCAATCGCCACGCGGGCTTCGTTGTGCTCCTCCTTAAGGCGGCGCATCTCCTCCTCCGCGTCGACGGGGATCGTCTTGATGGCCTTGAGCTCCTGGGAACGAAGCTTCCATGGTGCGGGGCTGACTTCAAACTCTTGCGTCTGAGACAAATCTGCGCTAAGCGCCGCCAGGTCTGAAATTTGGCTAGTAAGAGTACGAAGCCTGGACAGGTACGTCGAGAAGAGATCAGACTCGCTCGACATGGTGACCTTGGTGGTGGCCATGGAGATTGTGTCCTGTACTTCCCGGTACGTGAAGGGCTCGTGACGGCCCTCCTCTTGCAGGAGCGTATGCAGGTCGGAGCCGATCTCACGAGCCAAAGCCGCCAGCTGTTGAGTGGCATCCTGGCACTGCTCAAACGACTCCTTGGTCTCTTGCGGCAACGCCAGCGAGCGAGACTTGAGATCTTGCAGAGCCCGAACAGCCTTTCCAGCAATGACCTTGGCACTCCGGGTCTGAGCAACGACAAACTCGGACTTCTTGCTAAAGTGCTGCGCCATCTCGTCGTCTTCGGACTCTGAAGGTACGACTCTCTGGACCATTCCGCGCAAGGCAGCAAACGTGGCTCCGGCAGACTCAAGATGGCTCTGCATGACAACAGTCTGCATGTACGTGTCCTCGGCGAAGTCGGGCAACTCGTTGGTGAGGTGAACCTCGGCAAGGTGGGACATGAGCGCGATCGTGCGCTGGAGTTCATCCGCACACTTCTGCTCCTTGAGATCGTCTCGTCGCAAGCCGTCGATCCATCCGTTCAGGGCCCGCTCCACTGGCTCCAGCTCGAACAAGGCGTTCTGGAACCGCTGGAATTGATCAATCGAGCAGTGGCTGATAGCGTTGGTGAAGCGTTGGCACATAGAAGCGACCCATGTGAGCTTGTCGATAGCATCGCAGCCGGCAAAGACGTCGTCCTCGTGGCCAGGATGAGGCTGGCCGTTGACGCGCTCCTTGATGAACGACTGCAAGAGCTCGGCCTTGAAGGCCAACCTCCTGAATCTTAGCAGAGCAAGCACAGAGTCTTGGTCCTCCTTGTAAGTATCGGGCAGGAACATCTTGACAATCTCCAAGTGTTGCTCGGCCTCCTGGGCCTCCAGTCGTCGTAGCTCGAGGTCGATCGTCTTGACTTGAGCCTTAGAGGCGGAGATCTGGAGCTTCATGTTCAGGTCCATCATAGCGCGGGACTTGCTGTTAAGCTGCTCGGATTCCGTCTCGGTCACAGCGTGTGACGCCCGCATGTCCTCCAGGTCGCTCTGCAGGCTGGTGACCAGTCCTCTGAATCGAGACAAGGTGTATTCCATGTCCTCGAGGGCCTCCTCCTGCTCGCCTGCCCGTCGAGCCTGCTCTGTGATCACGCTGTCCTTGAAGTCAAGGTCCTCTTGCATCTCCTTTTCGTTCTGGACATGGTTGATCTCCAGCTCGTCGTTAATCTCCTTGAGGTTCTCGAGGTCCTCGATGACGGCCTTGAGTTCCTCGATTTGCTCAGACATGCTCATGTTACGCTCAGTGAGATCCTCGATCATATCTTCAGCGCCCAAAGCATTGTCCAGTTGTTGCCGAAGATCTTCAACGGCAGCCTCGGACTGGGCCAACTTCTCCTTTGCCGCATCGAACTGCTCCTTGACGGTGCCGAATTCCTGGAGGTCGTCCTCCAAAGTCTTAATTTGGTCCTTGAGCTCCTCTTCTTGTTGCTGAGTCAAATCGCGCAGTCGCAGCAGAGCTTCACGGAGCCGCTCGTTCGTCCTCTCCATCTGCAGCCACCCGGTGCTAGCGCGGTCTTCCGCCGACATGCCCTGACCGAATTCCGCATTCTCTTCGCGGAGAATCTCCACTTCGAGCTCCAGCTCTTCCGACTTCTGCTTCAGAGCCTCAAGTTCAACCTTAAGAACCTCGGCCGTCTCTTCAGCCATCTCACGGTCCAACGTGGCCAGCTCCAGGGCAGTCTCGTGCTCCATCTGCATCGACTCGATGGATTCAAATCTCTCCTCTGCCTCCTTCAGCTGTTTTCGCAATTCGTTGTTCTCGCTCTGTTGGGGCTGGTATTTTGCCTGCAACTTTTCTATAATCGACTGGAATCTGTCCCGCTCGCCTTGGACCTGGTCCAACTGCTTCAACTTCTCCCTGTCCTCCAACCTCTTTCTCTCAAGCACTTTGAGCTTGGCCTTGAGGTCCTCTATTTCTCTATTCGCAGCGGCGGCATTTGGTGTAGAACGGGCGGTTGTCGCTGGTTTCGTCGAGCTTGTAGGCGTAGTAGACGCCGAGCCTGAAGTGAGCTTCTCCAAAGCCTTTGTCCTTGCTCTCACGGGGCTTGTCTCGCCATCTTTATTGGGAGACGTAGCACCTGCGTCTTCGCCGCTGTCGGCGTTCTTCCCAGCTCCCATGTCTGCGGAGGGCCTTCTCGCAGAACCGGCAGCCCGTCCAGAGATGGAAAGTCGACCACTATTGGGCCTGCCTGGGGTGGGCCGTGTTGGCGCCGAAGATGTCGAGGGCTGTCTGGTGGTTCTGTTGGCAGGTATTGGCGGAGGTCCCATGGAGCTACGAGAAGTTCCCACGCTTGGCCGCGTTTTTGCGGCTGTGGCTGGTGTACGTGTATTGGAGGGTGTGGTAGTTCGCGATGGCGCGGTACTCGATGTTGCTGATCCGAGCTGTTTTGTGGGTGACTTGGTTGGTGACTGCACATCCATTGTTACTCGCTGCTCTTGATTTGCTTAGGTATCTGTATACTCACCCGTAATGTACTCGTCGGCCGGGACACCTTAGGCCCCGGACTCGGGCTCGGTGCATTCAGACTCATCCTCTTAGTCAAACTCGTATCGCTGGTCGTCCTCCCGGCGCCTGGATTGAAGCTACTCGGCCGGCTAGGCCTACGAGCTGCTGGCTTCGCCGCCGGAGCAGGCGCCTGGGCAATGATGGCCAACGTCGTCGGGCGCACAAACATGCCATGTCCTAGGGCACAGTCAAAGTACCGCTCGCCCTGGACGCTGCCATCGTTCTTCCCGCTATCATCCTCGAGCTCGATGCCCACCCAATCGCCGCTGGCGAAATGCGTTCCACCGGCGAAGCGCACGATGCCAGTCCGGCCGTCTGATAGACGCACCGTCTGGCCAACTGCGAGCTCCGACATTGTTCCGCGACTGTGACTCTACTGAGAGATAACCATGTTCGTTATTGCTGTCGATTGGTCGTGGGGGCGTGGGCCAGTCGTTGAGGCCCCGTCGTCGTGATGCGTGATGTGTACTTGGATGATTACGTTGTGTTTGGATGTCACCAAGGGGGCCATTCGGAGCGCGTCCCAATCGGATAAACGCGCTGGAGCTTGGAGCTTGCTGCTGCTGCGGCACCTGCGACTAGACTAACAAGGGAAGGGGTTCATCTGGGGTGATGTCAATACAAAGTCAATGCCTGATTGGCTGCTTCCTGCCTTGCATCTCAGGGTCCATCCACCGCTATGAGCTTAAACGAATCTTTCCTATGGATAACTGTATATATTGGTACCCGCGAGGGACATCCCTCATAAGGCCTTACGAAGAAAACACGGAAAGCAGAGGACAACAATGCTCTCTCGAACACAAAGCAAACGGGCTTCAAAGAGAACACACAGCGACATTGTCTCATTCCCTTCAGCGGAACGCTCATGAAATGCAATTTTCGATGAAGCTGTCAGTGCGCAGCATATTAGCTCTCGACGCAACGCAGGGAAATATCATTTGACCTATTCAGGAAGTTCGGATGCACTCTCACAGTCTCACTCGAGGATGCTTTTCAATAATCGACTCAATACGTTTACTCCGTATTTTGGTTTTCCTATTTACGCCTACGCTATGTCAGGAAAAATCGATAGTGTGTCTCGATCCAAAAAGAAGGAAATCCACCGCCGCGTACCGCTCAAATCATCACATTATTAAGTCCGCTTTTGTAACCACCTCAACCTCGCCCGAACCCTTCCTGGTAGCTGCCTCCTCGAATCCACTCAACCAACTCAAAAGAGATGCGTCGCTCAGTCTTCTCGTCCAAGGACTTATTATGCGCAACCCTGACAATCATCACACCCGGTCCTCGAAACTCGACTGCACCTGCGTGAGTGATTTCCTCCTCAGTCACTGACTTGACGTAGATGACAAGGTCCGGTCCAATGATTCCCCTCCACAAGGTCGATACCCATTGCCAATGGTCGATCGGGGCATAGCAATCATAGATGGGTAATGTGCAAGCGTACTTGTCTGAGAGGGTCAAGCTGAATCCTGCGGGGAGGAGGGCGACTGGCGTTTTGCTGGGTGCCGATATCGAGCTGTGTCGGGACCCGACAGCCTCCCCCTCCGATGCCCGTCTCGTAAGCGGAGGCGGGTCCGGTGCGAAAGCCGGCTTGGTGGATACATGCTTGATGATCTCTCGCGACTTCACATGCCACTTCAGGATGCTCTCCATATAGTTAGAGAACAGCTCCGAGGCGTGTAGGTTGGGCTGCGAATGGCTGCTCTTCCTGCTGCTGCTGCTGCCGCCGCCAGCAGAGGCCGTGTCGTTCATCCTTGTGTCGTCTTCGGCCGACAGGACAGACAACGGCGTACTCGGTCCCTCGCTCCACGTTTTCAGATCGATCTCGCTCAATCCAAGGAGAGACCGGTGCACTGCCGTTCCCACCTGCTCCAGCTGTCGAGGATCAGCCCCCTCAACGGCAACGACTGCGCCGCGGATCTCGATATCAGGGCTGGTCGGTCCCGGCGGAGCCAAAGTCGGACTAATCTTTTGCAGGACCTTCAGCTTGCTCCAGAAAGGAATCGTCATGATCATGGCCTCAAGGCTTTGAGCATATCTATCCCTCGGGTTTGCGATGCCCATGCCAGTCATTGGGTGTACACTCGGGCGGTCGTTTGTATCGTTGTCTCTGTTGAGTGGCGGAGACGACTGGGTCTGGAGAGGTGCCAGTCGAAGACTCTCATCGTAACCCGGGCCGCGGCTTGGCCCTGCGTTCGCCGGATGGGGCGGTCGTGGAGGAGGGGGTGCCATATTGCTATACCCGGGCCTCACGAGTGATGATGGACCGGGTAAAGGCCCGTAGCCGGCGACCGGCGGCGTGGGAGGCATACTCACCGACGATCTAGGCTGCCTCGATAGAGGATGGCCTGTGTATGGTCCGGGTGAAGGGACTGCCTGGTAATATCCCGTGGGGGGGTTGAATCGGCGTCGTTTGAGCTCGGGAGATGGCGACATTGGTTCGTATTCTTCTTCCACTTCCCGCAAGTTGTTATGTTGGTGTTGGTAAGGCTGTTTTGCTCCAGGTAAAGCACGTCGAAGGTGATCGCTATCCCCGCCGCGAGCCTCGCTCGGGTGATGCGGCTGCATCTTCGGTTTTGCGGCTGTCGGTGTGCCTGCTGGTGTTGACGGCGTTCTCGGCGCTGCGATGAATCTGCCACCGCAGTTGGGGCACCGGCCTGGATCAGTCGAGGCCGACGATCCTGAATGACTGCCAGATCTACCACGACGAGGCTGATAGCGGTAACCCGGGTATTCTTTTGCGTGGCGTCTCTTCTCCTCTTCTCCCAGCTGCCTCCAGGTTTCCTTCTCTCGCGAGTCTTGTGTTCTCCACCGCCGTCCTATGATCTTGGATATCTCTGGGTTGGAAAGACCTGGGAATTCCCTGGTGACATCAGCCTGATGGTGTTGCCTATACAATATGAAGGCTGTCAAAGAACGACGTCAGTCAGCGGGCATTGCACAAGTGTCCAGTAGCCTGTTTGGATTGTCCGACAAAGAAGAGTCCCCCGAGGTCGGTCTCAGACCAGGTCTGTGACGAAGATGCGCCGAACGATGGTGCGGGATGAAGAGCGAAAGATGTGCGACTCACGGTTGCGAGGCCTTGGGATCTTGAGTCCTGGTGTGCAGAGACAGATGCTGTTCCTGCCGCCCTGGCCGCTCATCGGTCTGGTCTCCAAGCTGAGATTCCTCACTTTGGAGGTATTCACTTCCTCAATATCGATGGACGCAACGCGCTTTCTGCTTGCGCGACTGCCAGCAGAGCCTACTGAGTCTGGTCCCTCGTCCGTCTCCTGGCTTGCTTTTCGTTCCATGGCCGAATGGGCAGAGATGCCACCGGAGGAAGAGGTTGACCGCCGTGGCCGAGGCGTAGAGACCACATCTGTCATCTTTTGGGCTGTAAGGGTTTGCAGGTGGTGTGCAAACAGATGCGAGTTGGGACTGGGGACAAGTGGGCGAGGCGTTCAAAGCTATGAGACGTTTGGACTTACACCAGGCTTCGGAAGGGGGGCGTTTGAAGAAGCAGAAGAGACAGGGGGTGTATGTACGTTGTCGACGGTGCGAGACACGACGGGATGCTAGGGTTGGGTTTGAGTTCGAAGAGTGTTGGCAAATAAGTCTGTGTAGTCGTGGACTTGGGCGAGCAGGAAAGGCAGCAATGATTTGACAGACGTGGGAGAGACAGGCGAAGCAGTATATCGGGAAACTGGAACGAGACGAGACGGGGCCGAGATCACTTCTGTTCGATGGCTGATTGTTCGTTCCGACCTTTTTCCCCCTTCTCCTTTGTGATATCGAGACGACGGCTACTCATTCAGCAAAAACCGAGCAGACAATGACCGTCTATCTCAATGACTTTATGTTCAAAGATGGAGGTTGCCATTATGGGGGAGAAAGAACATCAGGGTAGGCAGGGCGAGCGGTACGATGCTGTCGAGACGGCAGCGACGAGCAGCAACCAGCATCGACACCGACGGGTTACCGGCGGCGAGGAGCAGGAAATGAGGTGGTCCTGAGTGGTGAGCAAAGGGAGAGGCGGGGAGGACGAACGAACAGAAGTGAGGAAACGGAACAGAGGTAAGAAGGGTAAGCTCGCAAGAGAGAGAGAGATTGTTGCTCCTTTGGGGGGTGGGAAATGTTGTCTCGGGAATGTACCGGAGACCCAAGGTTGTTGCAGATGAGGGAAATGGTATTCTTTGTGAAGAAGCGTTTGCCCTCTGGTGGCCGGTGCCCGCGTCGTCTCTGTCTCTCTTCTCTAGGACTCGCCCAGGTGTTCCGTTCGCATAGAGCGTTGGAGACGGAGAGACAGAGTATGGGCCAAAAAATGGGTAAATGCCTTTCTCGCCCTCTTACCTTGAGAATAAGAAATGGGCAAGTTTCGGTTCCCAAGTCCGAAGATGGAGCCGAAGAAGGCGGGAAAGGATGCGGCGGTAACAAGAGCGACCTAGACGAGGACGTAAAAAGATGGATAATGACTCAAAGGTATGAACAACGACGAGACATGGAGACGCGACTTTGAAGAATATCCCTCCGCCTTCAAGTTCAAGTCTCGTTGGGTAAGGGTGGAGGTTTATCCTGGTTAGATGAAAGACGAGGGAAGCGTTGTGCTGCTGCTCAAAGCAGTCGGCTTTCCCATCCCCCTCCCCCCCCATGTTATTTTAGGCATTTCCTTCCTTTCATGTCATCAGCAATACAGTCAAGCCCAGACCATTTGCAATGTCTATCCCGCATGTGTTGCTGCTGCTACTAATGCAGCATCCGCTGCCTCTGCCGCCGCTACTGGGCTCTTCCTCCTGCCCCCCCCCCCTTGCTTTGCCAGCCAGTCCGTCTCTTCAGAGGAAGCCGCAGACCGACTGCAGACTCTTACGCTGGGGGGGGGACGTCAGAAACAATGACCCTTGGGTGGGTGTGGCCAGGATCAGAATGAGGACTGTGTACCGGGGGGAGCAGATTAAAGGCGGCGGCAAAGGAATGAATGCAAAGAGAGGATGAGAGCGCTGTGTTCCCCGGTTGGAATGTTCAATCATAAGCCCGCCCCGGTAAAGGAACAAAGACAATGTAAAGAAGTCTGCCCCCCCTCCCTCTCCTCACTCAACCCCGGCCGAAATTAGGCTAGGTTGGTTGGACACATCTCCCACGTGATGAAAAAGAAGGGAAAGGGTGGATAAGCTGGGTCCATGAGGAAATTCCTCTGCTTCATTCTTCTATCTGTTGGATACTAGAAATTTTAAAATTTGATCGGCAGGACACAATGCGTTTGGCGTTGGTGATGTCTCTGATGACAGACGCAAAAGTACGGACGGATGGGAGGGGGAACCGGGGTTCAGAACGGGAACTCTGGGAGAGCAGCCAGGAAAAAGACAAGACGCGGTGAAGGACATTTTTTATCTAGTTATTGTTAGGAAAGAATAGCACTGGCATTGGCACTGGCACTGGCATTGGCGGTGCGTGGGTTGTCTCTCGTTAAACTTGCGGTTTTCTGGTTCGCGGCCTGTAATGTCTCAAAACTTTCGGGATGGGCGGTTCTATTTTTTCCTCATCTGGAAAGCTTGACAGTCGTTTTGTTTTGCAAACAGCGCGCTCTCTTCTTCAAACCTCAGGATGCCCAGCCAAGCCGAGTGGGATAACGTGAAAAGGTATCAATGCCTTTGCTCGCAGCTCCAAGGCGTGCGCCATGTCGTCTTACCACACTCGTACTCCGATTCAACCACATACAGTCGAGTCCCCCAGACCGCTTGTCGACAGATGACTGGTCCTCTTTCCCAGATGAATATCTCATGTCAAAGAACAACTCCATGGATTACCTGTTGGTCTCGATAATTGTAACAAGTTCTTTTTTACAACGCCGTCGCCATCCTTCATTCGAGGAAGAAGCCGACATGGGCCCCGTGACTTCTCCTCGCGTATCGTCCAACCATCATCTCTTGCGCTCGTCTCACGAAATGTATCCTTTGCCGCTTTCGCTGCTCAAGAGACTGGCGCTGCGCCGCGAGTCCAAAAAGAGGTCTTCGCACTCGGCCACGTCCTGGACGTCGGTTTGGCTGCGGCCGTTTGCCTTGGAAAGAATGCTTTCATTGGGGTTAGCTCACATGTCTCACACTAGCCGGTCGATCCATGATCCACAACAGAGAGGGTATGGGGGAATAGCTTTAGGGATGAAGCAAAGGCGGTGGGAAATAGGGCAAAGCTGTCATTGCATGGTTCACCGTGAACTCACCTGGCGGGTGTCAACAGCTGCAGGCAGTACCGCAAGCTGATGCGGACGCCGTGCTCCGCGATCTTGTCCAGGGCGGCGTCGGTAATAGGCACACCCTCGGTGGTGGCCCTGATGCGAACAATACGCTTGATCTCATCGGCCTGGTACGGCGTGGTTGGAATGATGAGCATGCGGGTCAAGAAGTCTGCCGGAATGCCGTGTGCCGCGACAATGTCATCTGTGCCGCGAAGCGTGGCCATTCCTCTGTTTGATGCCAGAATGACAATCGGGGCAATGGGTGACTCCAGAGCCCGGTTCAGGTACGTGAAACACTCGACATCGAGCATGTGTGCCTGTCGTGAATGATTAACCCACAAGTTCCAATCAACTCCGCCAGACATTCAAGGATTTCTTACCTCGTCGATGAAGAGCACACCCGGCACAAGCTCGGCAACACCTTGGTCAATGTACTTGCTTACCACCTTGTTGATCTCTCCACGCAGCTTATCCGTGATCTCAGTCATCTTGGGCTTCATCAGCTGGCCCATCATGCTCATGATATCTTGACCACCCTGGGGCCGTGCGTTGGCAACATCGAGGTCGTGTAGCGTCACGTCCTGCACGATCTCCTTCTTCTTGTGCACCTCGCCCTTGGGAATGGGGACGTATTCCTCAGCCTCGAGGTCGAACTCGGTCGCATAGGCATCTGATCTTCCCACGCGCTTGCAAGCGCCCGTGTTGGCCTCGATATAGACGACATCTCCCACTGAGACTCTCTCCTTCTGGATAGCCTCGTATATGCTGGGGTCCAGGCGCAGCTTCTTCTGTCCCTTTGCGCTCTTCAGGCCGATCAGGAGTGTGCTGATGGTCTTTCCGTACCCTCCCAGAGGGTTCTCGGCCTCCTCAGGTGTAAGCTCCGTAACCTCGCCTTCGTACACCTCCTTTGTTTCCCGAACCTTCAAGCCAATGGCTCGGCGGAAGTTCTCCATCAACATCTCTGTCTTCTTCACTTCGGTCGAGTAAATTTCGCTACCGACAATCGGGCAGAAGGGGATCTTGGTTCCGAGTTCTTGACTGACGGCGAGCGCGAGGGCAGTCTTTCCTGTGCCAGGTCCACCAGCCAGCAGAACGCCGCGGCCGGCCATCTTGTGCGCTTTGATGAGGTCAACTACAACACCAGCTGCCTGTCGCGAAGTTAGTGACTGCCTTGCCCTGAGGTTATGGCCATCGAATGGCTACGCACCTCTCTTGCCGTCGACTGGCCGACGAAGCCAGCGGCTTGCTTCTCTGCTGTGCCATCCTGCTTCAATCCCAGTCCCTTGATGTGGGTATGGGCAGCCGTGCGGTTCTCGCGACTGTTTCCCTTAACCTCGCTGATTTGGACCATCTTCGCGGCGGAAGTGTCGGGTGCCGGCGATCAATTCGTGTAGTATCAATAATTCAATCGTGTGCGAGGAAGTCGATCGGATTGTCGGCAAATTTGTCGCGGTCGTGATTGATCGTTGGCGTTGGCGGGTGGATGATTGGTGTCAGACAGATTTGGATGAAGCTCCAAAAGATTTTGGGGCGACGCGCCTCAGTCTATCCCTGCAAAACTTCCAGGTGCACAGTGCAGGCGCCGACTTACACATTAGGAATCGGGTGCCCCACACGTGACCTCTGGATAGCTTCCCGTTTGCGCCTCATTCAACATCATCCCAACCGCCTCAGCTTATTCACTCGCTCTTCATTTTTTCTAAGGGTGTCATATTTTCATATCACTTAAACTGGTCTGGTAGATATAAAACTGGATTTCTGACGGACAGATCATCGAATGAAGGGTTGGCCGACTGAACAAATGCTGCACACAACACCAAGGCAGGACTGACACGGAATACACGGTTCGAAGCGACTTCTTCTTATTTCGCCAAAGACTTCGACCCTCAACAGCGCCCGGCACTCTCCTAATTATTCTGTAGAAGTTAAAGGGTCGGCGTTACACAGCATGTCTCTCCCAAATCGTACAATTTCTCATCGGACCATGATGTGCGATCGAAACCGTCAAACCCCATGTGCATAAGTCAACTTGACTCAAATGCTAATTTCAATCACGGTTCTGTTCCCGCGTTCGGGAATGTTGAGACTTCTGTCTCACTGAGACCCTCTCCACCACTACAAACAGCGTCCCGCCGTGCTGGAATCCTGAAGTCACCCCTTGGATGCACGCCGTCACACGCCTGGCTTGGCGACACGTTTCTATACCTTTTCTCGAAAGTCCCCTGAAGAATCCCCTGTGACGTCGTATTTGAGACACCAAGGTCCTGGTCGAGTGAGAGGCCCATCGACGATGCTCGGAGATTGTCGCCGAAGTTCGGCTTCCCATGAAAGATGAACTGAGTATTCTGTGAAAGAGGCTATTTTACAGACAAATCATGTTCTGAGTTCTGTCTCTGGCAAGCTATATTCCCAGAGCAGAGGGTTTACATCCACGAGTGAGGTCATGCGGCAAGCTACGAATGTCCTTCAATATGCCCCTTCGTATCTTAATGGGCCTTAGATCTCAGCGCTGTGGTTTTTTGCAAAATGAGGTACGACGATTGAGTGTGGGTGTTTTGTTCAACTTGAGCTGTAAATTTATATCCGTGTTCGCTCAGAAGCCAGAGGTTTGCTTCCTCGTAGCTTGAAGTCTCCTATTCCGTCTTTCCATTCTCTTTCGGTGTAACTCCGTACATATGCACATAAGGGATATCAGTCAAGACGGCATGTTGAGGACTGAACTTTTGGCGAGTTTGAATGTCTATTGCCTGACTTGATAACGAATATTGATACAATATGCCCAAGATCCCCATTCTAGGCGTCTATCAAGTATCGTACGACACTAGCCAATAAATCTATTCCCGGGCTCCTTTTCATCATCTTGTGACGTATATCCAATCGTCATACATCGTAAGCCGTCATATATCATCACCTCACTCTCTGTAGCTCAAAGTCCTCGTCCTTCCACCATCCATATCAGCCAACATCGGCACAGCCTCCGTATCCCGCACATTGTCAACCTCCACATCCGCCTCCCTCTTCGGCACCGGCGCTCTCTTCGTCAGCACCACCCACAGCGCACTTCCGATAATCAGCCCGCAGCCCGCGAGACTCATCCACCCCATGACGTTGCCAAAGATGAAGCGGTCGAACCCGGCCGCGAAGAGCATGTGCGTGTACACCATGGCGTTGGCCCGATTCGACCGATCCGTGCCGAGCCCCGCCGTGAGGAGGAACTGCATCACGAACCCGAACACGCCCAGCAGCACGAGGAAGAGCCACTGCCGTCCCGTCTGCGGGAGGCCCCATCGCAGGGCGGGTTGTCCGATCTCGAGCATGGGCGCGGTGGTGAGCACGACGGCGCAGACGATGGTGCACCACGTCGCAAAGTAGTTTACTGAGATGAGCGGGTGTGCCCTCTTCCCGATCCATCGGATGGTCGTGAATGCCCCCGCAGCCCCGAATACACCCACTATCGCAACTCCGATGGCCATCAGCCGCTCCGCTGTCGTAGCCTGGTGGTTCAGTCCCGGCAGCGTCGAGGTCATTGTCCCGTTATTCAGACCTGGGGTTTCCGGCGCGGTGGTGGCGGCCGTGGACGTCGAGTCCCCGGAGAAAAGCGAGGTCGGGTGGGCGATGAGGACGACGCCGAAGAAGGCGATGACGGTGCCGATTTGCTCGTTTCTGGTGAACGGTTCGCGGATGGCGAGGTAGCACACGTAACCGGCGACGCTGGGAGCCAAGAAAGTAATGACGGTGGCCTCGGCAAGGGGGAGGTACATCATCGAGTACCACATGCCAAAGATGCCGAAGAAGCCCGATACACCTCTGGCGATGAGCAGCCATCTGATTTCCTTCTTTCCAAAGGGGAAGTCGGGCGTCTTCATGTAGTACATGTAAAGACAGCAACAGACCATCGTGACGCTTTGCCGGGCGAAGAGGACCTGTAGTGGGTGCATCCCTTCGTCTTCGAGTTCGAGGAGCCTTGCTGTGAGGTTCATCAGAGCACCGAATAGTTGTGATAATGCCACCAAAACGACGCCCTTGTTGGTCTGCCAGAACGCCGCCATTTTGGTCGTCTTTCGAGAGCTCTGTAATATCGGCGGAGGACACTCTGCCCCTGGCAACGGCGACGCTCTCCCATTTTGGAACGGGCTTGTAGAAAATCTGCGGAACGAGTCTGGGTCTGGTAGGGCTGAGAGTCCCTTTCCGTGGTCGTGTGACCAAGACATCTTGCTGTCTATCGATAACCTCTGGCTGGTATCATCCGTGTGTTCTGGTTCATTATCAAATCTCGTCTTGGCCTCGGTGTTCCGAGGAACGGACAGGCTATCATGATTCTGCTTCTGTTCGGACATGGCGGCTAGGTGAGGTCATGTCTATAGGTTCAAAGCCAGGTAGGGTATAAGCAGGAGAGCCGGCGTAGGTAAGTAGGAAACAAGATATGTATTTCCGGTACGAGAAGTGATCTCCGACAGCTCAACCGATATTCAAACCAGCGACTAATGTGTAAGAATTTACTCTTCACTTGAACGGAGATAGACAGAGATTTTCGACCATGCAATGAAGCGGGGTGTAGTCACAAGAAAGGAAAAAAAGGTGCAGAAAGGAAGGGACTCCCCATCGTTCATCGGACGTGGGGAGGCTGGAGTAATGTAGTGGGTATGGGGGCCCTGCTTGTCAGTCATTCAGTCAGTCACTCGGGATAGTTCCTCGCCAGGGCGGAGACGGGGGCGGAGGTGGGAGCGGAGGAGTATCGATGGGCAAAATGTGTTTGGTTGATTGCGTGCGGCGGCGTGGGCACATGTTACCTGGCGTGCCTGCATAGCCCACCACCACGTCTCCCACCCATGCATCCCGTCTTCTCTTTTTGCTGGGTGTAAGTGGCAGATGCGTGAGAAAATGACCCCTCCATGCCACTCAAAGGGCCAAAGTGTGTCAGTATCGGCGAATGCAGCAGTGCGGATTTGCTGGAGGAAAAGAGCTGCGGGTGGAGTGGGAATCACCAGCATCGAATGGTCACGAACCAACCCACTTGGGAAACGCCCAGAGGATTCGAGAGAAACCAACCAACCAACCCCCCGCTACCGCTAGCCCGGCGTCGACCCGCTGGCAAGGGCGCCCTTTTGTTTCGCTGATGCGCCGCCGACACCGAGAAAAAAGAAACAGTGTGATCATCATTGGGTGTTACCTGTACACCGATTAGGTAGTTTCCTCCCCCCCCGATATCGCAACCACACCATCTTCCCAGGTTTTGCCAGAGAAGGAAGGCGCTGGGAAGTGCGCCGGATGTCGTTTGCCGGGGGTAAAACCAGCCCACTTTCTCGGCGCGGATCCACTCGCACCAACCCCGACAGCGGGCGGCCCGGCACCGATTCGGAGCAAATGGGATTGGATGACTCGGGCAGATGCCAGAAACCCGTGTTTCTTGTTGCTTGCAGACTTTAAAGTTTAAGCCTTTTGTTAGCACGTCGAAAATGTAAGCGGCTGAACCTTGATAGCATTCCTCTCGACTCCAGTAGTAGTTATTGTCTCCGGTAAGCTGTAGGTAAACGAGCTATGGCGTCGATTGTCCATGGAAGAATCACAAATCTTTGTCCACAAATGTTCGACGTTCCTAACCTTGTGGTTTTCTCTCAACTCATTCACAGCGCAGCAGACCGAGTCTTAGCTAACGATGCTACATATATCGACACAAAAGCCCTTGATGCTTGGTCCACGGACGAGATGTCGATGAAATGCATGGGTACCTGGCTCATTTCCTCGAGATCTCGGCTGGTCTCCGAAACTCAGTTGCTATCCCCAGGAAAATTTAAGCCGCCTTTTGCAGTAAGTCATCCAAAAACCGACATCCTCCAACTCGTGGGTGTCCATTTGACTATCGTGAGTATTATGCTTTTTGTGACCTGTTTTCCTCCTAAGCCAGACCCCCTTGTAATGATGATATCGAATCAATACCCCAAGACGACCATCCAATAAACGCCTAATGCTATGCCTCATTCCCAAAAGAAGAACCCAAATGGCCGTACTTTCCACCCATATTACCCGGAGTTGGCTCACTTCCCATCTCCGTCCAATCTGAACCTTTTCGACGGTCGTCCCGCAACCTCACTCTCGGCATCAGCGTCATCGTCCGCCTCGCCCAGCTCCTCCTCTTGCTTCACCGCCGCGTCCGCCGTACCCGAAGCTTCGCCCGTACCGTTGGCGGCCTTATCCTTCTTGCCGTGCTCCTGGTCCGCAGCGTCCTTCATGAGCACCGCCTCATCGTCCTTTGTGAAAATCTTCTTGGCCGACTCGATCTCGCCCTTCTTCTCAAAGACCTCCTGAACCTTTCCGAGAAAGGCGTCGTTCTTGCGGAACGCGAACTCGAAATCCTCGTATTTGACCTTTTGCCGTCCTGCGTAGTTTGCCGCGCGCGTCGCCTCGAAAGCCATGCCTTGGATGAACTCGGTTACGATCTCGTCAAGAACGCGAATCGTTTCGGGGAGCGGGTTCCTCACGTCGCCGTGGGCGTAAAGTAGTTGAGCCACTACAGAGTGCGCGTTTGATTAGTATATGGCCCGGTGTCTTGTGTCGCTGGGTCCTGCAGAGGAAGGAACATACGCTCGTTGTGGCTGAAGTTCATTTTGCCAACATTTTTGGCGGCGCGGGCGCGAGGCTCCATGATGGGCAGATATGGCTGATTATCCGACGTAAGTGAGCAAGACGTTGCTGATTTTCGATGAGTTCGCTCTGGAGGAGGTCGCAAAGGCTCTTTCGCGATGCGCGCAAGTTCGGAGTCGGGTTTGCTAGGGTATGGTTGTCGTGGAGGAGGTTGCGGATGAAATTAGGTAGGTGCTTGAGAGTGAGTGACAGACGGCACACCTCAGAATGGAAGGCAGGGACCTTATCTTATCGTAACCTTGCAAGCTGAGCCTCAGGTTCTGGACCTGATCGAGAGCACCCCTGCTGACTGTGGGGGTGGCGTTATGTCATCCAAACGTGGCTGGTGTGAAGCTCAAGCTCAGGCCACATGTGCCACAAATTCTCCGGGCCACCTTGTCCACTGAGGAGAGGCTGAAGACAACTGCACCCCTAGGCCACTTGGATCGCGACCTTCAAGCTAGCTTGTCCATTTTCCCAAATCCCCCCCGTTCAAGTCGCCAACTACCCCTCGCAGAGGGATTCAACTTGCAACCATGGTAAGTCAAGCTCCGCGATCACGTCTAGTATAACAAGCCATACTAAAACTTGACATAGACCGCCCTATTCAACTTCCAGTCGCTCCTCCTCGTCATTCTCCTCCTCATTTGCACATGCGCATACGCGCACCAGCTCATGCCCGCCATCATGGACCGGAACAAGGACGGGTAGGGTCACTGATGACACGCACTCGTGGAGAGACCTGTTGGCTAAAATCGTTCGGCAGCGTCATGGGTATATTTTGGAAGTTCGCGAGAGTAGGCGAACGGTTAAGTCCATACATCAGCTTATGCTGTGTCGTCATGGCGGCAAGTCTCCCTTCCCTTGTCTTTCCTCTCTGCACTTTCTAACTGGGCTACGATAGGTCTCCATGCTCATCAACTAAACACTCAACACCCCTTTGTATGATTGCGCGAGCGCGGAACCCCTCTCGACGGGGGTACGAAAAGACTTGTTATATGGTTTGGAGTTGGTCTGGGAAATGAATCATTGCTTTGTTACATGGGTGCCAGCGCCAGGCGCAAGAGAGATAATACGGCTGTGGTCAATGAGACCTGCATAACGATATCAGTAGTATATGGGTATTGTCCGTACTTGTCGTCGGATGACGGTGGAAGTAATGCAACAAATTCTGCCACCATCGATGGTAAACGATATTGGCGTTGCTCTGGATGTCATTGATATTTGTAGACCGTGGTATGGATGGTTTTCAAGCTTCCAGAATCAGCGCTCCGTTTACATGGAAACATTGAAACAACGATTATGTGCCTTCTTGTCTGTGTACGATGCCTTAATTGCTCTCAGAGTGATGTGCCGCGGTCCTAGTCAGCAAAGTGATCTGAGGCTCATGAGCTTTGCATCTGATATGTAATTTTCTGCGGGTGCAACGCATTCTGAACAGACTTACGGAGAAGCAGTCATCGATAAGCTCATTCTCGAGTACACGTCGAATTAGATTAGTATCAATGATGTGAAGGAACAAAACATACATATTTGCAACCCTTCCGTATGAATTGTAGCCTTGATACTTGCACATTGTCGTACCAGGTCCATGAAAATTAGACTCGTCTACCATCGCATGTTTGCTGAGGCGGAGAATTCCTCCCCGAGACTGGGCCAACCACATCAGTGGTTTTCAAAGTGAGGTCTGTCTTGGGTCTTCGGTCTTGTTCCATGATATCTTGTCTTGAAATAGCATATGTCGCCCTCCACCCCTCTATTAATACTTGGATCGAAGATCGGTGGAAGCATCCAGATACTCTGGAGCATACTTGGGCCGACGGGAGTCTCATTAGACAACATTTTCCCAGGTAACCAGAGCACCTTGGCTATGACCAAGGATTCACTCCAGAGACATACATTAACCTGTTGGCATTGTAATTGGGGAGGTAATAACATTGGCTTCAGTAGCGAACGCCCAAGATTGATCCCCCTGTAGAATCGAAACATAGCGAGAACGATCGAGCTGCCAAAGTACTGGCAACTTAATCGTGAAGAAACACTGGTGAGCGTCTTGAATTCAGTGTCCTTATTTCTTGCTTTGTACTCAGCCTCTTCTAGCCAACCAGCACCCATTTGACAAGAAGTCGAAAGACTCGTGAGGAGGATGTCCTTTCGTGTAAGTATAGTATGGCCTACAGGGACCTCGGGACAGGAGAACTATCCTCAGAGCGGATATTGCAGGGTATGCTAATGATCCTGACGTGGTTGAATCAGCCTATCCCCTATTCTAGCTCGCTGGTAGAGAATCTATATAAGACCCATCAGTTCGCGGCGGTCTTCTCATGGTGGCCTCCAGTTAATACATGGCCAGCACCGCAATAGCTATCAATGAAAATTTAAGAGAACACATCATCAGAAGTCCGAGTATCAATTCTTGGACATAGTGATGAACATGGGGCCTTACGATGTCGAAATCCGCCACTTTGTTTTCGAGTATTTTCTACGATGCGGTAATTGTAATGGTAATGTTTGATCTATCTCGAAGATACAAGGGAGATGCGAACAGGGATAGCAGAAAAAGCAACCTCTAATTCAACGATAATTTCTCACGACGTACCGTTCGTACCAGGAAGAGAGTTGCACATTGGAAGGATGGGAGACTAGAATAGGCCGTACCCTCACACCGGCCTCAAGAAGAATAAACTCCCAACAACAAACTCTTCAAGACATCCGATAACAGACTGGGTAATGACTCGGATGGATAGAATCCTCAGTCGAAAGGGAAAGTGGCCGAAAAGCCTGAAGGATCGATATCCTCTACTTCTGAGGCTGCGCTATCTTTGCCGGAGTACAAAGGTTTGAGCGATCATCACCGGATTTGTTGAATTGCATGTTGAACAAGCTTTAGCCGTCATCTTCTCGTCTATTCACACGTCTGTCTGTCTGTCTGTCTGTCTGTCTGTCTGTCTACCTGAACTTTTCTCTTTTTTCAAAGAAAAAGGGGAAAAAGCAAAAACAACAGGAGCCAGCCGAGGGTCGAATGCTGTAGTCCAGAAATAATCCGGAACATCACGGACTAGTCAAGACTTCACGACCCTCACCCCTCGGTCATCGGCTCGGTATTTGTTGTTAGGAAGAACATGCACTAGACTTCCTAGGAGGCATACGATATAATGGTTGCTGGTGCCTTCCCGACTCTGCCTTTTGCTTCTTGCCTTCCTTCCATCGTGGCTTCCCATTATCTTCTTTCCCTTTGGAGTGACTTGGAACTGCTAAAAGATAATCGCCGAAGCCTTTGGATTCAGCTTCCTGATCGTGTATACCTACTTCAATCGAGGGTGTGCCTATCTAACACCCAATACTATATTCGAATTCCGCGGTTTGATACATCCCTCACTCTCTTCAACACTACCTCTTGCAGGCTTGAGCTTATGACCAAGTGAAAATCAAGTGAGGAGACAAATAAGGCGAAAAGGCGAGCAGAACACGAGAGACTAACAAGAGATTTCTTTTTCTAGACTTACAAAAAAAACTAAAAAAACTGAAATGTGACCTCTGCAGAACCTTTGATATCGATAAATAATCAGCTGTCAAGACTCAACCAAAGGTAGATAACAAAGACCCATAGATTATTACCACGTCTGCCCAGCACCGGTCATCACTGCACATTTTCCTCTCCCTCAGCAAATCCAATTTCGTAGTAACCACCAGCTCCGACCCATGGAATGTAGTCCAGACTTGGTCAAGAGCCACAAACAGCACAGAAACCTGCCCCCGAAAATGTCCTAGATGGAAAATGTACATACAGACATTTGCACTATCAACTGAGATGAGAGACACACACCCCATGTCCCGAATCGATGCGTGAGGAGAAAACTCACCGATTGGATATCACCCGGCATCCGCATGTGATTGTGATTGTGGCTGCCTCAAGACCGTTCCAGCATAATTTTTTTATTTTCTTTTCGTACGACAACAATGGCACATGCTTGCTTTGCGGAGGATGCAACTTCACAGCGGACACAGCCGACAGACAAACATTTGCACTTGAGGTGCCAATCACTCACCACAATCAATGACGGAACACGGGTAAGAGAGAAAGAGCAGATAGTTAATGGCAAATGTGACTCTTGTTTTTCTGTCTCAGCAATGCAAAAAAGTGCGCTATGTATCTGGATGTAACCACCTCCCCCATGCAACGCCTAAACCAAGTGATCATCGCGGCCAAGGTGCTCGCGAGCTTGATGCTTTGATACCCCAAACACCGTCTAAAGGTTCCGTAACCCCCCGTAGCCAAATAGAGTCTTGCGAGAATAGTTGCCAAATGCAGAATTAAAATACTGTAAAAAGGGGTATTGTTGTTCGACCAGACATAATAGAGAAGCCCTTTGCTTGGGCATGTCGGGTTGCTTGTCTTTGCGACCAGCATCCCTTTTGATTAGATGGAGTTGATTGGAAGGGTAGGCTGCGTGCCTTAGAACTGGTTCATTTCCATCAAGCTGTCGACCTGCTCATCTTCGGTGTATGCGAGGCCGGCGAATACTCTCCAGTGGAGAATACCAAGGTGTGCCAAGCGGGTCGCCATGTCCTCGATTCCGCCATCGTCCCGGGTCTCCCGGTTGCTGTCAGAGACCGAGCTCTCGCGTTCAGGACTGCCAATCGATCGTCCCGAGCCTTGGACACGGCCGCCAGTGGCTACGGTGAAGAGACCGACTCCAGTGAGCCCGCGGAACTCGCGAACTCGCTTCTGGAGCTCCATGAGAAGTCTGTGGTGAAAATGTGCCTCGACCTCCTGAAACAAGGGACTGTTGATGTCACAAACGTGAGAAGCAAGCTTGGACTCGAATACCGGAAGCATGTCGGCGGGAGCGTTGGTGAACCGGAAGATTTGAAGGGCCAGCGAGGGAGCAATGGCTTCCCAGCGAGACTCGTGCCTGCGCGGCGGGGGCGAGGTGTGGAGCAGCGCGACCAAAGAGTTGTAGACATCCCTAGCCTTGGCAAGAGATTCTGTGGGATCGGACGTAGGTTGAGGCGGAAGGATGAGAGAAGACCGCGGCGATGACGTGGCAGAATCGCCGGAGCTGAAGGCGAGACTTGATGGCCGCGAGGGCGGAGTGTTGAAGTTGAAATCGGGGGTCATGGAGAGAGGGCGACTGCGGGGCTCGTCGTCGAACTGTGAGAAGGAGCTGGCGAAGAGGGGAGCGTTCAACCGCCCGACTCTCTCAAGGTCGTCGTACATGCGCATGCAGACCTCCAAGTTGATGGCGTCCAACATATCCGCACGGAGCTTGTTGAAACGCTCTTCGTCAAAGATGAAGGTGTTTGGCAACGCCTTTTCTGACACTGAGGGCAAGACCAGGCGAGAGATGGCCTCGAAAAAGACGGACATCTCACCGAAAGAGTGGGCTGCAATGGGAGACACAGAAGCAGCATATCTCTGCTCGGCATCCCTATACCAGGCATTTGCTTGAGTGACGTCCAGCTTGCTTCCCTGAATCTTCTTCTCGAAGAACTTGCGCTCGAACGGAATAGTTCCCTCGATGAGGATCGGCCGAAGGCAGCGAATCTGATGGTTGGCAACGTCGAGCTTCATAGCCTCCAAAACACTGAGCAGGCTCTTCATGCCCTTGACAAGCTCATCCACGTTGTTGGTCCTGTTTCCGTTGCTCAGTTGGGTGTACATCTGATCCACCCACTCGTCACGCATCGGAGCGCAGTGTGATTTGAGTACTCGAGACAGCCAGAGAGCCAGCTTCTCAAGGTCTGCGATTCCCCGGTAGAACTGCTGCATCAGCAGATCGACATTGAGCCCCTCGTCCAAGTACACTCTGTCTCTTTGGGGCACCAAAGTCTGAATGATTTCCTTGACAGCCTTCAACAAAGATGGCAAGCACCAATCGTCGTCCTGGCCGTGCGTAGTAAAGAAGAACTCTGGCTCCCTCACAAATTGGGCGAGCTGCTCCTGAAGGGTGGTCCAGAAAAGGTCGGCCTTGTGCTGTTTCCTCTTGCCCTTGTCGCCGTCCAGATTAGGGCGGAAGTGCAACTCCGGATCAAAGTTGATATCATGACGTAACTTTGGGTTGTGCATAATTTTGCATACGTCCAACTCGCTCAAAGTCACCTTTGTCACGGGGGGCTCAATCGGCCGAGAGATCCGGGGAGCGGAAGCCTTAACCTCCGGCACACTTCCGAAGTAGCTGTCTGTCGGCGCATTCGGCGTTAAAACAGTAGAGCTGTTAGATGATGCCCTGGCCAATAGGGGTGCTGTTGTGGGCGTTGATGTGTTTGAAGGGGGGTTGAAGCCTCTAGGAGAGACTTGTGACGATTGCTTGAACTGGGGTTTCGCCTCCTCTTGTTGCGTCTGCTTGCCAGCCTGGGGCTCAGTCTCCTGAATGGGCTCGTTCTCGCCGTTGGCTCGATTCGATGTCGACAGATGGCGACGGTTGCTTTCTATGCCACCACCGGCTCCCTGATCACCCGCCATCTTTGAGATTCTCGTCCGGTCGGTTCGATGGGCGTTAAGAAGTTATGCTCGACTGGCCTTCGAGTTGTCGGAATTCGCGGTTTCAACAGAGATTGGTCAGAAACCAAATTCAGATCCAAGGTTACACGCTGGAGATCGGTGTTGGAGCAAGTTGCAGAGCCTAAGAAACCCAAGAGTATTGGGAAGTTATGGTATGGCTGGTGTTCCCCGAGGGAGCAAGTTAGCAAGAGTATATCTAGTCGGATGGCCGCAAACAAGCGTCGGTAGTTTTGTGAGACGAAGAGGTCTCGTGAGCGACACACACGCGGGCGAATGCAGGTGCTGGTTCCCGGAGTTCTGTGTAATGAACTAGGGAGTGTCGAAGGGAGGGGGGGGGAGGGAGGACGCCCGCGAGTTTGCAGCCATCTATGGCCGGGTAAGCCAAGTAGGCTTGTTATAACTTACGGGATGTGATAAAAGAGTGCAGTAAGAGCAGCGGTAGCTGGGCGGGGGGCGGGATGCAGCAGTAGTTGCAGTCGTCGAGTACGAGAATCAGCGGTGGATGTATCGGCCGAGGGATGTTTGCTCAAGTCGAGAAGCGCAGCGCAGCAGGAAGGAGCGGCTGGACCACAGAAGGAGTCCGTTGTGGGAGCGTGCTTGCTGCAGAGGCACGGCTGAGAAGCAAACAAGCGGCCAAGTCACTTCTGAAATGTTGTTGGTTGGAAGTGACGGGAACTCTGAGCCCGAGGATGCGGTCGAGTGGGTGTACAGTGTTTATCGGTTGTTGGTTGGGTCTTGTTGGCGAGGTAAGAATGCCGCAGTAGTTGGAGGTTGTAAGAGTGAGGATTCGTGAGGAGGGAAAGGGTGAAAGTCTATTGGAGGGCGAGCGAGGGCGGCGAGGTTATTGTTTAAGGAGCAGGAAGGAGCCAGAGCAGGAACAGTAGCAGCTGCGACGGAGATTGCTCAGGGGGTGTGGGATATCCAGAGGTAATGAGGGACAGGTCTGGAGTGAGTGTGAAAGAGCGCAAGAAGCAAGCCAGAGAGGATATCCGTCTGTTAATTACAAATGGGGGGAGGAAATTGCAAACGGAGAAGGAAGGAAGAAGAAGAGAACGAGTACGTCTATCAAGTGGGCAGGGACGTGGGAGAGAGGCAAGAGAAATACGGTCGGTAAGTACGGTCAGGTCAGGCCCCAGCCCAAGTCAGGTCAGGTCAGGTCAGTGCAGTATGCGGCCGGGGAAGGGATGAGAAGCAAAAAAAAAAAAAAAAAAAAAAAGGAGAAGGTGAGTGTGAGTGAGAGTAGTGACAAAACGCCAGGAGGACTGGAGCATGTTAAAGCCAAACAATAATATTAAGACGGTAAGGTATGGGAGGGTAGGAACAGGTCAGGTACAGATACCGGATCAAGGTACGTACATCCTACATAGAGTTGCAGTGCAGAGAGCAAGTACCTGAACGTAGAAGGACGAGGCATAGGCGGCGGGCATAGAGAGAGGTACATGCATCCAATGTGTGTATGAGAGAGCGCCGTAGCGTCCATGGAAGGAGAAAGGGCCCAGGGAGGTCACTAGTCATCCGTGGACTGGTGGAGAGGTACTTTTGACTTGGCTCCCATATCCTGACCCTACATTACTCTACTGCATAGTAGCGTACAGAGGGTGTCGGCACACTAAACTGGACGGTGAAGCCTCTCCCCCCTTTGCCTCTCAGTCTCTCTCTGAAGGGGGTGCCACCTCAGAAAGGGGGGGAGGATGGGCCTCGAAGTATCGGTAAGGTAAGGTAAGTAGTGAGGCAGAGCAAGGTGCTCCGTACATCAGCTTCATTGAGTCTCCATAAGTGACGGACGGTGGACCCAGATCGGGTACGTACTCTCTCCGCCGCCGGGCTAGGAACTAGGACCCAAAGGTCCAAGGGGAATATGCGCTTGGATGGGTTGGGGGAACTTGGGTGAAATTGCTGGCAATGCATCCTCAATGCATTCTCAATGCAGACAGAGTGCAGACTCGCAGTCTCGCAGTCTCGCAGAGAGAAGTGCAGTGCCAGACCAGACCCTCCACACGTTCCCACGCTCCCACACACACTCCCGCACGGCACACGCTACACACCCGGAGCTTCATCTTTTAGCGGCAGCACCCACTGGCCACTGGGCCGCCATCCATCCTCTCGCCCCCCCCCTCCCATTTTGGACTGGTTCTGTCACTCACCCACTGTACCCTGCCCTGTATACCTGACGATGAGTGTGTGTGTGTGTGTGTGTGTGTGTGTGTGTGTGTGGAAGAGAGAGTTCCAATGTGAGCACGAGGTCAGGGCAACATGTAGTCAGGCTTCATAGGAGTTGGGTGGATGGGGGTGTTCGTGGTTGACCATGTCCTGCCGCCTCGTAAGGTAGGAGCAGGAGTACCTCGGAGGAGCACTGATAGTGATGGACGGCTTGGTGGTGTTGTTGATGATGGTGTTGCCAATGTCCGTCTCGTTGTGTAGGAAATGCAGGGCCAGAAGTATCCCTTCCGTACTCGTCGCATATGTAACGCACCGAGCAGCAACTCTTTCGGTACATCTCTCTTAACGTGCCAGGCCGTGTCATGCTTCCTCCCTTCCTCTTGTCCAGCTCTTCCCTCCCATCACATCTCGACTCGGCATCCCTTCCAGTTCCCGTCCGTGATCTTTTGGCACTTTGCCCTTTTCTCTGTCAGGTACGGTACGCCTCATCGACGCCTCAAAAGCCGTAGAGTCCCTTCACTCCCCCTCCATGTCCAGCCCACTACTCGCTTCTAGTCAGCCTTAGCGCGTCATCGTGGAGAGGTCCCTTTGTGAAGTCGTTCCCCCCCGTGTCCGGGGCCTTGACAAGCCACGGCCACCGCCTATTGCCAACACCACCTAATCCGCCCACCGCCTATCGCCCGACCGCCGGCAGTAACAGCCATCGGCGGCATCGGGAGTGGCAGTGGCCGTCGCAAGCAAGCAGCGGCGTGCAGTAGGACTGTGCCATGAACACCTCCTCATCAAGTAGTTCCTCGGGGTCTCACCGAGTGAGAAACCATACGTACTGCGTACATGCAAGCCGCAGATTCGTCTGCTACGCCACGCCATAGAGCGGGCCACTACGTATGTCAACCTCCGCTCCGGCCGATACGGCTGCATTGTCGTTGCCCCAGCAGAGTGGCACCGGAGGCGTAACAACACGGAGATCGGGGACCAAAGAGAAAGCGCATTTCCTGTCGGCAGTATCGTGAGTAGCGAATGAAGGCATCAGAAACAGCAGTTGCATTCGCTGGTGCCACTGCTGGTGCTGCTGCTGCGGCGGCAGGCCTCGTCATTTGCCGTTGGCCATTCGTACACGGTAGTGCATCGTCAACCAACCCCGTCAGGTGGACTGAGGGAACTCTGAGTCTGCTGCCACTCACAACTTTACTACCCACCCACCACTGACGGACGGCTGCTAAGACGAGATAACTATCCATGCTGCCATGCCCATGCCATGCCGTGCCACGCTCATCGCACGCTGGGGCGATTAGCACCAAGGCCATCCCTGCGCCGGGCCGGGGGGTGGACGAACAACTCGTTTGGTATTCGGGTCTCTTGAGTCTTGGGTCTTTGGTGGTCCACTCGGGCCTGTCCCTACCGGCTGGAGAGAGTCAAAAGAACCACAACCCATGCGCCTGTCGGTGATCTCGAAGAACGGAACGCAAAATGGATACCTCATGGAACACGCCAACCAGCCTCCCTTCTTTGCCTGTCTTCGCCTGGCCTTGTTGACTTCCCCAGAATAGCTGTTTCGAAAGAGAAAAGGGGAACAAGAGGTGGCGCTGGACGGGCCAGGCCGGTTAAGCGTTGTAGGGACGACCACCATGTCCCCAAACACCAGACTCTTGTCCAAGAAGACGGCGTATCCAGTAATTCGAACGAATATTCCGAACATGCGGCCAGCAGGTGGCTAGTTGCGAGGAGAATTGAAAGAACATGGACACACGGCCTTCGCCGGCGCTCCGCCATAAGACGGCAAAGGAGGGAGGGGCCGCGGCATCATTTCAAGAGACGACCTTGGGCCAGAACTTTTGACTCGACTGGCGAGACAAATGAGCGCGCTGTGAGACGAAGCAAAGAAAGGCATGGCGAATGAGTCGTCAGGCGTGTGCGGCGAAAAAACAAATGCTGTTAAAGGCAGAGCATCCGTAAGAGGTGGCGGCGCGCGGCGGCGCGCGGCGGCGGCGAGTCAATGACCTTCGTATTGATCGACCAGCGGCACATTGTTCCAATTCCGGTAGCTGCAGTATGGACGAAATGAACAGGCTCAAACTGCAGCAACACGCGAGACTCTGCACCCACACGAGGTCATGGTCGACGTCGGACTGCTCGTGTACCTCTTCTTTCTGCCTCATGGTCGCGGTGCAGGCGTTGCGAATAAGTGCAAGAGATGAAGTAAAAAGCCGGCCGGTTGGGGGTGGGGGGTCAAAACACTCGGGATTGTGCGTCCGTTCGCTCGTAGACTTGCGTGGTCTGCCAGGACAGAATTCCGGATGGATCGCACGACCATGCAAGGACGGTACGGTAGTATAGACTATGGAAGCTGGAGGACCGTCAGCATCACACATGAGCAGGGCGCCCCCTTTCTGCTCAGGATCCGTCATCCATCCATCCGTTCGAAATGTGCGTCCAAGCGGTGGTGATATAATTCTTGGCGACCTGATGTGATTATGAGGATCTGAGGATCACGAAGACCAAGACTAAGACCAAGACCAAGAGGGAGCCAGCGAAAAAAGTAAAGAGAAGAAGATCATCAGTGGTACGCTAGGCGTGGGGTCCCTACTCCAACCAGGGGCAGGGGATGCACGAGGGTATGGGACCAGGTACCTCACTGTGTAGGTGACTAAGGCAGGTACTTGGAGGACAGAGGGGCAGAAGAAACCATCGGAGGAATAAATGTGAAAAATGCCAGAGAAGGAAAAGATTCTGGAAAAGAGAATGATACGGAGACGTAGGAATAAAAAAAGAAAAAGAACCCAGTGCCAGGGCAAATGGGAACGGCAAGGGCCAGTGGAGACAACCCAGCAATCCGCGCCGTCGGTAATAGCCACTTTGATCCCACTATCCGTACTCCGTACCCGCCCTTCGTACCTTACTGGGGAGGAGGTACTGCCTGCCCTGAGTGCGTGGCAGTTGAGGAAGGCAAGGCGGGCGAAAATGTCGGATGTATTCCGGTACATCTAGAGAGTACCGAGGCATTTGGTCGACTTGCAAGGGGAAGGAGGAAGGAAGGGGATTGAGAGCGGGCGGCAGGGGGGGATCCCTTGCAAGTTCCAGGTCCCAGGAGTCTTGGATTGGATTTCTCAAGAGAGCCATGTCCATCCCAGGTTCCCAACCCTCGTACCTGGGATTCTGGGAAAAAAAGAGGACCAGCCTCGAAGACGACACGAAAGGAGGAGCCTTAAGGGATCTCCCAGGGTCAGCTTATTACCGGCCTTGCGCTTCCTCGCTACGCCGCACCTGACACCCTGCCTGAATCTCCCAGGTGGGTTCAAGGTGAGAGAAACCGAGAGACTATGTATTATCCGTACTCCGTATGAGAGAGGGAGAAAAGGGAAGGTGAGGTGAGGTAAGGTGAGCTCGGGGGACGCCTCCAATCATCCAACTAATACCTAGGTATGCAGTTTGCTTGTTGTTGAGCTGACACAACCCAAGACACTCGATACTCGACACTCGTGACATATCTCACACATGCACGCCATGCTAGGTAGACTCCGACATGTGGAAGAGGCGGCTGACAACGTGCAATCCATTCTTGAGCGGCAACCATGGGACAATGAGCTGGGCCGTCGCTAGCGTGCGGCGGATCGAACGAGTCCGAGATGACAATTTGACAATTCTATATCACGGTCGCCTCGGACGCTCTGAACATAAAGCAAGCCGCCACCTTCGGATTAATGCGGCAAAGGCCTACTTATTAATTATTGACCACGTAGCATGATAGGCTGACCAACAGATCCTCATCAGAAATTGAGAAACCCATAGTAATGACGACCATTGCAGGTTCCTGCATGCTCGGCCGAAGTGTTGCATCGCGCTGCTGGGGCTTTGCAGTCGCTATTTTGGATTAATTGGGTCGGGAATTGATCAGGGAGACAGAAACCGTCTGCTAGAAACATATCAGTGCCTTCCCATGCCACAGTTCCTCCCTTCTCCAAGGGCCATGGGCCATGGACTTGGTGGGAGGGCGCCACGGAGCGTAAATGGGGAACGCTGCTCCGCACGGCAGGTACAAAGTGCAGCGTACCTCATGGAGTGAAGATTAACATTCATGGATGAACAGTTCAAAAGTGCATTACCATTCACATTTCATCCACAGGGCTTGACCAGGCAAGGCCGGTGCCATCTCAAGACAATCACGACTCACCACTCAAAGCTCACCAGCCTTGTCCCTGGAAACGGGAATAGGCCGCGGGCCCATGAACCAGCATCTCAGACTCGCGTACGGAGTGCTCATCCGTATTAGTTACAAGTTCATCCTACTGTTTGAGTCCACCAATCCAGACCGGCAGGTCTAGACTCACTTGAACCTCTCCATTCCTCTTTTCTCGTCCCTGCATCACATCTGCGTCAAACCAAGTCTTTTGATGAAAGCCGCCCGTCCGCCGCTGGACTCACTCGCCCATGATCCGTCCCTTTACCCCCCCGCGTGCCTCGCTACGGACCCTGCGGCCGGCCTTCATACCTGGACTTTGATTTCGGAGCCGGAACACCTTTAGGATAAGTATTGGCTTCGACTCCTATCCAAGGGCCTCGAGCTCTCCGTCTCAGACAAGGCTTGGGTTAGACTCTTCACTTCGGTCGGTCGCGTCCCCCGCCATTGGTGACGATGACCGTCACCGTGGAACACAATACGTACCTCGGCTGGCTTTAGCTCCTCTGTCCTGCCTTACCTCATCAGTCAGGGGCGCACGCCACCTACCATGGGATGTAGTAAGGTTGTGAACGATGGCGGGAGAGCACTAAGCAGGAAGGTAACGATACCTGGGAGTCCAAGTACCTCCCAGCTCCAAGGTACGGATACCTGCCTTACGATGAAATTTGCCCACGCCGGGCGTTTGTGTGGCTGCAACGGCGCTGGACGGATACGGAATGCGCTCCGTCTACTGCTCCCGTTCCACTCATCCGTTCCAGATCTTGTCTCTACCTTATTACGGAGTACGTCTACCACGCTACGGCGCCTCGGAATACGGATATCCATTTGCTTGCACAACAAAGAAATTCGACATCGCGGAATCTCCAAATTCTGTTCCGCCTCCACTTGCCATCATCAATCCGGCTCCTTTGTTTTAAACCTCGGAGCTAGCCTCAATTCTCACCTCATCGTCCATACAATATTCCTTTCAGCTATTCTTCGCAGCTAATAAAGCAGGCAAGCTAAGCTAGAGCAGGACGCCGGACCCCAAACTGACCCTTGCCGGACACACCCCTGACTCCGTGGCAAGGACACACGGTACGGAATATGGAGTACGAAGTATGCGTACCTACACAACTCATCGATGATCAAACCATCAATCCCGAGCCGCATACTCCAAGAGCCACGAGGCAAGACTCGCCTCGCAGGAAGCAAGAGGCAACCGAGCAGCGAAGTGGCCGTTTCCCCCTTCCAAGTTCCCGCTGGCATTAAGATTGGATCCATTTAGTTGCGATCCACGATCCACCGGCCTCGTCCACTCCAGATGCAACCAGCCACCAACAAAGCCGTCCTGCTGATCGTCCTCGCAATCAATTCGTCTCCTCGCTTCGGAGCTGTCGCCGTCTGCTCCTTCATGCATGTGGCTACGAATACACAACTACCACCCGACTGGAGATGCCATTCGATGATCGATCCCCACGCATACGAGGCTCACACAGATTTGATCACATTACTGCTCAAACAAACAACGTCCTATTGCATCCATCCGACGGTGCCGCTGCAGATGTATGCGATGTCAAAATCGGTTACAACACCCGCAGGCTCCCTCGACTGAATTCTCGGCTTGACGTTGGGTTTGGTGATAAGCAGCCACTCTAGTCGAAGCAGACACAAACTTGATGATGTACTCTATTCCAACCGGCCATCACGCTTTCATACTCTTCTTGATTGATTTCTCTCTTGCGTTCCTCTCGCCTTCCACAATACTGGAGACACAAATACGGACCAACAGCCTTATACGACCCTTTCGCCCCCCTTTTTCTACTCACCTTGTCGCCAACGCCCGAGAATATGGGTATGAATCGTCCACCAACCGGTATTGGATCTGCATCGAGGCGCCTGATCCGTGGGGTGTGGGTGCTAATTATCCCGTCCTTGGGTGCAAGCGGCCGAGATATCGGAGCCACTGGGAAAGTGGCCGACGGCGAGGCGAACGCCTAGCTGTCCGCCGTCGTCTGATGCTGCTAGGGCTTTGGTCTAGACGGTGCCCCGCGAATACGTGCAACCGTCCCTTTCAGTCCCCGGGGTGCCCGTCACGTTGGTCCAAACGCCAACGGTGCACGGGATGCGATAGTTTGGATAATTTCAGAGTCTCGAGACGCCGGCGACTGCCCGATACTCAGACCTGCACGCTTCATGTCCGCGACGGCATTGCTCCATGCGTGACTAATGGTGCTCGCCCGCCCCTGGTCCTCTTTGTCGCCCGCTCTCCGACCCCAAGGTGGCTCTGGCTTCTCGGCCCTCGCAAAGCGCCTTCCAAGTTCCGGGGGAGAACAGGACGAACGGCGGCCGGCATAGAATCAGAAAGTCACCAAGTTGACAATGACGACAGTCGATTATCCCGTACCAACCCTCACCTCCGCGGACCGCAGGGACTTACCTTGACTTCCAAGTTCCTGTTCCATGCATGCAGTTGGATTGATGGCCGGGGCGTCGATGAGCTGAGATCATCTCATATTCTTACAACCAACCGTCCACGGTACGAATACCCGGTTCAGAATCAGCTCTGCATCTGAAATTGCCGCTGGCTGGCTCTTGAGTCTTGCCTGAGCCACCACCGCCCATCCTCCACCAGGTACGAGTCAATCAACTTCTGACGTCGACACTCGACAATCTCCTTTTTCAACAATGGCCGTGTGCGTGCGGAGCTACGCGTCAACCTCGACGCCTCGGCCATGGCGAACCCTCCATCCCCTCTGCCTCGTCTTGCCATGTGGTTGATGGAGCCCTTCAAGAGTCTGCAGACCGGGAATCGCGGCTGCCCGTGGGCGAGGGTCATCCTCGCACGACTTCTGCTGAGAATGAGGCTGCACAGCTCACACCACTCGATCCATGGCCACCCTCTAGTTTCAGCGGTCCGGCTTTGCAGTTTATGATCAGGACTTGACCATCGGCAACCAGGTTTGAACTGCATTACCACGACCTACCTATCTCAACGCCACTAATCATCGCAGAGTGCGTCTGCGGAGTAATCTGCGTGAGCACCGGCCTGCAGGATCGTCCCCTTACTATTCGTACCTTAATGGTCTCCGACCTTCAATCAAACACGGTATCTAGTCGACCGTTAGGTCCCGAGTAAAGACTAAGAAGACACAGTGGAGCGGCTACCAGCATGACTTCCCTTCACCTGACTGCCGTTCGCCGCCACACACCGAGATTGGAAAATAATACTCTAGGTTCAAGCAGGCCTGGCCACATTGTACGGAGTAGCAACCCGGCCCAAAGCTTGAGAGTGCCATTAATACACACCCTCACCACTTTAACCTGCCCGAGGCGCCAACCAGAATCCTTGGCAGATCCCATCGGTCCCAACTACGCCATCCGCACATCACTTTCGGTTTGCTCGTTGATGCATATGGGATGTCCAAGGCTTTTCTACTGCGGACAAATTTCCATCGCGGCCGCTGCTCAGGAGGGTTGGGTAGCTCAAACTCGCCGTTTGCTTGCATTCCAATGTGCCGTGGCACAGCTTTTGCTGCTGGCTCGTTTCGACCTGCCTACAAGAGTACGACTAGCATTACATTCTCGCAACCCCTCATGCAACCCAGTTGCGAGCTTGTTGTGCGTCTTGTGCGACAATCATGCCGCCCTTTGACCACGATGCCACCCGACGCGGCAGTCCTGCTCCATAGCCCTTTCATACCAAGGTTTTCGACCAACTCCCGCCGCGGGCCATCGTCTGGACGCCGCCTTGTTGACAATATAAAGGATGATACGGGCCCATGACTCGGCCCGCTTCCAGAGAGCACCAGGCATGCCCCGACCACTGCGTTCTCCTCTGCCTCGCGGAAACATCTACATTGTATCCGTACGGCGCTTTCAGACGACCGGCGACACCCATTTTGACTTCCGTGTCCAATCCTTATGGTGGGCGTGATGATGCAGCGGCGATATCACGGCCATGTTGCAACCCGCTAGCTTTTGCAGCTTGCAGCGAGCCTCTGAATGGGTTTCCGCACATTGTTTTCGCTCGCAACGCAAGGAAACGCAAGACAACGCAAAGCAACGCAAACTAAACCGCCTACCTAGTCCGCTTTATTGGTCCCCGTTCCGATCCCGGCCCAGAATGGGATTTTGGGAGTCAACGGTGAGGCTAGCAACGCAGCAAAGCTGTGGCAAACGCTGATTGATGACAACTCACCTTGACCACACCGTCCCAAAACCTTCGGATTGATCGTCCTCGATCTGTCGTTGGACCATGTTTAGGAATCGTGCGCGCCCAGAAGACGCACTGCGTCGGCAACCCAGGCTTGTTTGAGCCCTCTACAACCAGACAGCCGTGACAAGTCAGACGCACACAAGCACACCCACACCACACAAAGCTCGTACACGTCGCTGACTCTGTCGCCATGTCTCTTGTCGCATCCTGGGCCGAAGAGAAGGGCCTTTGCTGGTCAACGTCCGGACCGTGCCCCTGGCCTTTCCCGAAGCGCGCCTGTCTTCCGTGCCCAGTCGATGTCTCGTCTCTCCTCATCGACGGCCCTGCCCTGCTTCACCCACTCTCTCAGAGCACCAACCTTCTAGCATCAACCGTTTCAAATCACATCACAGCGGGATCTGGGCCGAATGGTGGCACCTCCTCTTTTACCCGTCTTTTCCGTGGCTTCTAGAAGGCTCAACCCCCCCTGACGAAGAAGCCTTTCAGACTTCCATACGCCGTTCTCGAGCCAGCATCGGTGACTCCGCCTCTGTGGGTGTAATGTGCATGGGTCGTCCGTCTCCATATTTTGTTATTGAGTTGCATCCGCTTCAGCTTCAGCTTTTTCCATCGAAGCCCTACGAATACGTGTGCCAAAGCGACACAAAGACCCGGTGGATTTCGTCTTGGCCTGCTGCAACTCGTTCCGCTGAACCCACAACGCACATGAGATTAGGGACCCCAAAGACTCTGCCATGACCACAATTCTTCAGCAGTCTCGCTCGCTTGCTGACATTTGGTTTCAACAGGGTGTTGTAAGTCTGGAACCACAGGTCTGGACTAAAAAGAAGGTGTTTCCTCCTGCGATGCCGGGGGTTCAGGGCGGTGAAGTCTTCGCGCTCTAGCCGCACCGCTCAACCCACGTCTCATACGGACACACGAGGTTATGTATGAGGTTGCTGTTCCTGTTGTTACGGATATTGTTCCCCTAATACGACCAGACTGCATGACAACTTCGCCTGCCATGATCGCCGCTAATATTTGGCATCAAGTTTCCCACTTACCGCCCCTCGACGTGGAGCAAGTATCCAGCGGCCACGCACAGGTTGCCGCCACGCATCGCGACTCCATCTCCCACTCCTCCTAATGAAGGCCTGACAGAGGAACAAGTCTTACTCTTGCACCAAGTCAGCGCTGCCAGCCACTTGCCTTTGATGCTCGTGGCCACCCTGTTTTACGCTATTTAAGCGGCGGCTCCAATCAAAGATTGCCAATCGTCCGGTTTAGGCCAGTGGTCTCCGCCGCTCTACAGCTCCGTAAGGTAACTGGGCAATGAAGATCGGCGACACCATTGCCTCCCCACCAACTTTCGATGCCAAAGCGGCGTGGAAACGCACCTGCAAAGCTCATTTGGGAGGGCGAGGGCACCGTCAGTGCCTGATTTGGGTTGTGCGGTCAAAGAGACAAAGGAATGCATGGGTTGGGCTCCCCAGCTGTGCCAGCCAACTCTTTGCCTGTCCAGCTGACCAAGTCTCTTGGCTCTCACCAACTGAGTCCAACTAAGTCGGCTATCGACCGACCTTTGCTTTTTCTTTTCTTTCTCTTGGTCGCTCGCAGAAAATGGAACGACCAAGGGCGACCTAGAGCCTTTGTGGCCTTGTAGTCGGTCGAGGACCGCGCAGATCCCTTGGAGAATCTTGCAGGATTTGCTCTAGGTCGCGCTCTCTCAGCCTCTCTCATCTCTCCTCTCGTTCCGTTTCGGTAATGCTTGCTTGCATCATTGTTTGGGGGAAGAAGAAATGGGATTCGTGGGGGCGGTGGTTCGTCACTCGCGAAACTCAGCCCAAGTTTTTTTTCAAAGGTTTTTTTTTTTTTTTTTTCCATCCATTCCGTGGCCAATTCAAATGGAGGTCGTACGAATACTGAATACCTATTAAAGGACCGTGCCAGGGAACCTACCTAGCGGTTCGGAAAGTCCTGTGATCCATCCAATATGTCAAAGAAATGGCAGAGATCAGCAAAGTGTCGATCTCGGCCTCTCGACCCCGTTCGAGACAACAAACGTCCCCGGCCGTGACGTTCAGCTTTTGCGTTGAGCTTGCGACGGGGGGGGGGGTTGTGGTTGAGGATTGTCCAGAGAGTCTAGACTTTTTTTTTTTTGTTCTTCCAGCAAAGAGCCGTGAAATGAGCGAGTGCCATTCTCAGTGAAGCTTACGGATACGCTTTTCGGTCATCTACACGTATCTCCACGTCCAATGTCACCTGGTAGGGCTGGCTCATTATACATAGATCCGAGAAGGGGGGCCTTTTCATCATTCATCAAAGGGAGGGCGTGGTCGATGTTACCCTTCTGACCGGAATGGGTTTGTATATTTGGGGATGTGCAGCATCACTTTCTTTTTTATTCTGGATAGCGAATGATATCCATTTCTTGAAAGTCTGATGGGTGTCCTGATGGGTGATGCCCGCGACCGCGACGGGTGTTATGGACTTGGGTTGGTTTCGCGGATGCGCGCTGCGACACTCACGGTACGAGATGGGAGGCGGAGCAATCCGCCAGAAGACACACGTTACGAAGGTATTTCGCGACAAGAGTGAGGATTTCCCCAACTTTTGGTCCGACTCGATGATTCAGAATGTGAGGGGCCTGGTTTACATTCGTGATGGTTGCGGTTTTTGTGGAGCGTGTCATCGACAACTTAGGGTTCTTTTACTATGAGCATGGCTCTCAAACACCCTTTGAAGGGTGGGCACTACTTACTTTTGTGACTTTTGAACACTGTCCGGATACTTTGTAGTTTGAAGGCAGGCGACGTATTGCTATCAAGCAGAAGAGAGGACTTATGGTTTGGCATCATGATTTGGACCTGGCGGCTTGAACTTGAGTAACGAACGCTCATAGATGTAACCCCTCTCAGTGTGTCGGCCTCGATGCCATCCTTCTTACAAATTACTCGCTTTCGTGATTACGATACTTGTCATCACATTTCATCATTTGTGTTGACGGTTCGAGCTGGGGGCGGGCTACCAGTGAGACTGTCGAATAACGTGGAATTAGGACCGCGAGTCGAAAGCACTTCAGGATGTAGCGAGATGACATGGTGATATTCCTTCCGCAACCTCATAATTTGGTATTCTTCTTCTCACTAAATCTCGTCTCACCACGTCCCCTTTCCCACTTCCTCCTTGGTATCCAGAAATACAGAAAAACAAAAACAGCAACCAGGGGTTGTACAAGAATAATGCCTTTTTACAGCAACGCCGGACAACAGACCATCCAGAGTTAGAAGAACCATCTAGAGGCGTGCCGAAATAGCAAATAATAATAGGTACTAGTATCCAACCAAAAAACACGAGAAAAACATGTTTTCACCTTCCGTTTTTCTTTCCTCTCTATGCTCCCGCTATGCAAAAAAAAAAAAAAAAAAAAAAAAAAAAATGTAGAACCCGAAGGCGACGCGTGCTAGTAGTACACAGTTGCAGCAGACGAGAGTGTGATGACTGGAACGCAGTACGCCGTAAGAATAGATCGATGTGCGATATCTCATATTATTGTAGTTTGTTGTTGCTGGTATCAAGGAGTTCGTCGTGGTAATGTTCATCGCGGAGACAAGGGGCTCCGTCCAGGGCCCTGTGACTTCCGCATCTTTTGCAACTCTTCCTCGAGTCTTCTCCTCTTGGCTTGCTCCTCCTGTTTACGTAGTCAGCATATTGAAATCACATAGACAAAGCCTGGATGACATACCCTCATGTCCTCTTGGAACTTCTTCCTCTCCTCTCTCATTGTGGTGCGGAACTGTTCGCTGAGCATCGACGCGCCGGCACCGCGTGCGCCAGTGCCCGGGGTCACCTTGAGGCGCGCGTCATCGAGCTCCTCCTGCAGCTTCGACAACTTGGACCTCGAAGTGTTGACCTCGACATCAAGTTCGTCCTTCAACGAGCTAATCTCACCCTCGAGGCTCGACTTGACTGCAAGCGCATCATCGAGCTTGGTCTCGACCTCGAACTTCTCCCTTTCGGCATTGATCGTCTCAGCCGTGATGTTCTCCAGCTCCTTGAGTGTGGAGGCGAGCTCCTCCTTGAGCTTGTCAACCTCTGCCTTGAGCTGGGTGACCTCAACGGTGCTCTTAACAGCCGCGGCTTGGTTGGCCCTCTCCTTACGAGAGCCATACGCACCATCGAGCTCGGCTTGTGCAATGGTCAGCTCCGTCTTGAGCTCGACGATCATCATATTGAAACGTTCAATCTCTTCTCCCTTCTCCTTGACTTCCTTGTCCTTGGCTGCAACCTCTTGCTGCTTCTCAACTGCCGCTTTCTCGGCTCCGGCCAGCCTCGTCGTCAGGAGCGCTACTTCTTCTTTGGCCTTGCTTAACTTGCTGTTCATATCCTGGACGTTCGTGTTGAGGCTGGCAAGTGTCGTCTGGGCCTCCTTGCTGCTTGCCTCTAGGGACGCGATCTTGGCATCACGTTCCTTGATCTCGTCTTGGGACTTGGCACTGCTGGACTCGTTGGCCATGCGCGTGGTGGTAGCGGCCTCCGCATCCTTCTGCGCCTTGGCGAGCTTCTCCTGAGCCTCAGCAACCTCCTCCTCGGACCGTTCGAGCAGTGACCTAAGCTGGTCCAACTGATCCTGCTTGAGCGTAAGCTCGAGTGCCTTCTCTTCCTCGGCTCGCATCTGAGTTGATCGAAGCTGGTCGAGTTGGTCTTGCTTTGTCTTCAGTTCCTCGTCCTTTTGCGAGTCGGACTTGTTGTTCAACTCCCGCTGCTGCTTGATCTGGCGCTTGAGAACGGACTTCTGCTCCTTCAGACTCGTGGCTTGGCTGTAGAGCCACTGCACCTTTGTAGAGAATGCTGACAACGAGTAAGGCTCTGATGTATCGACGGCTTCGTCTCCAGACATGTCGTCATCGTTATCAGATCTGCCCTGCTCGATGCGTGTACGGCGGCGATCTGCCTTCTGCTGCTGAATGCTTGCGAAACCAGTCTGGATGATTTCCCACAGGCCCATCAGTACGACCTCGGCCTGCTCGTCGTCTTGCTTCTTGACAGCCGACTTGCTGGCATTCTTCTTCATCTGCTCTTCTACGACAGATAGAGCGCTCTGGAGCCACTCGAACTGCGCGTCGATGCCAGAGTCTGGTACTTCGGGGTAGCTTGGGTCGACTCCAATCAGGAGGTCTCGCATTTTCTGGTTCACATCCTCGAGGCGGCTTTCTGCTTGCGTGAGGGCGATAGATGCTTGAGCTGCGGCAGCCTCCGCGTCTTGCAGACTACCAGTCGATTGTCCTTGAAGTTCTTGTTCCTGGCGCACAGCCGATAGACCTGCCTCCAGGTACTCGAATTGGCTTCCCAGTGTAGCGCCAGGATCGGCTGGCCCTTCCACCGCTAGTGAGGGAGGTTCCCGGAAACCTCCGTTCTTGGCTGGATTAAAGTTTATAATTACGTCTCGTAGAGTTTTGTTGTATGTCGTTAGCTTCCGTTCCGTGTCAGAAACGGACTGTAAGCGTTGTGCGTTCTCCTTCTTGAGCGAGTCAATCTCGCCGCTCAAGGCATCGGTTTGTGCCTGAAGCTGAGTATTCTCCTCCCGAAGGCTGTTCAACGCGTCGGCTTGCGCGCGTAGTCTTGCGTTCTCCTCCCTCAGCTTGTCAGCCTCCTCTCGCAGTTGCGTATCCTGCTCACGACTCGGCGCCTTTGAGGGGATGTCGAGCGGAGCAACTCTTGGTTTTCCACGAGGCGGGCTTATGTTGCTCAGATCCTGGAAGAGTCCATCCTCGTCGAAGGAGGCTTCTCCGACCTCTAGACTATTGCGGCCGTTGGAGTAGGTGTACAAGCTCTCTGGGCTTCCGGGTATCCCATTCATCAACTGCTGGGGGATTTGATTCACGGGCTTTTTTGATGCTTTGTGCGTCAGCTGGAGGATGCCAGCGGTGTGCTCCAGGAGGCCCCTCTGCGATTCCACGAGGCGCTGTTCGAGGCTCCGCAGTTCGTTCGACAGGTCATCGACTCGTTTTTCGCTGGCTTGTCGTTCCGCCTCGGCCTCACGCAAAGACTCTCCCGTGCTGTTGCGATTACTGCCCATCAAACTCCTTCTCTTGCCAGCCTCGGGCTGCGAGTACAGCTTGGCCATGGAAACGGCAGCATCTCGATACTTGGTCTGGATAGCGAGGTTCGTGCGTGTTTGTTCCACCCGTAAGCTCAAGGATTGGATCTGTTTCTTGAGCCCGTCCACCTCCTCCTGCGACAATATTCGGTATTGCTTGCTGTCCGTCAATGCCGTCTCCGTCAATAGGTGAACTTGAATCGGGTCCTTGAGGTCAACCAGGGCGGAGCTCGGTGGTAGCTTCGCATTCGTCTACGTGATGTTAGATGCGTCTATACTAGGCTGGCTAGACCAGTGAGGAGGACTGACCGGATTAACGCGCAGAGGCGCCCCTCCAAAGTTGTTCATAATGTCTCTCCTGAGGCCATCCCCATCTATTGACCTTCCGCCAGGGCCAGCAGCCCGGGGCGGCGAGGGTCTCCCCGGGGAGTACCCGTTCATGATATGGGGTCAGATGTGTAGCAAAGGACGGCACGCGTCAAATCATTATATTACAGCGGAATCGTAGAGTCGTAGGTAGCTTATGATGTCGATGCGGCCGTGGGAAGCATGTTCGTCGGACGGATACGAGGAGGCTAAAGCGTTCGTACACACGTCGGATGGGGACGTTTGAACAATAGTACAGCGATGCGTGGAAGGACAAAGGGTGGCTGGCGCGTGGGATTTGTGCCGAAACCCCTTGGTGGGAAGCAAGGGGGTTGTTCGCCGTTACAGTATCGAGGTCGCTATCGCCGTGGAGACGGGGGAGGTCGTCGGGGGACGGATTCAGCACCAGCCGCTTCGCAAAGGGTGGTCGAGGGGGGAAAGTTGCGAGGTTAAAGAGAGTGTTTCCCCCGGCGAGGCATAGACATCCTTTTCTCCCAGAACGAGAGGTGAATCGGCGTGTGCAAAAGCGACTACGAGGTGCAGAGTGTGCAGGTGCAGGTTCAGGTGCTGTTGAGTTTGCCGTCCCAAAAATTGAGTTGGGTGACCTGTCGCAGCGGGTGGCAGTCTGGCAGACACATTTGACACTACCGCAGCAAAACCGGCCCCCCCCCCCACCGCCCCCCTGGCAGATGGTTCATAATTGGCGATGCTTCGCAGCTCCCACTTCGGGGGGGGGCTCTTGCGCTAAGCTTATTTGGGTTCGTCCCTTGCCCGTTTTCCCTGCGTCGCTGCGGCTACCTTCCCTTTACGCTATTGGCAGATGGGCCCGTTGGTCAGCGGTACGTACCGCACTATTCCACGCTAGTGAGAGTCAGCGTGACCGTATTTTTAGTTTAAGGATCTCTGACTGCTGTATCCGCCTCATCCATCTGCGTGTTCCATGATAAATCAAAACCTCTTCACACCTTTCCCAACTCAAGCAAGATCAGAAAGCTTGCTGATTTCTGAATTCTTGTTTACCATTTGATGTCGGTGATGTCTAGGTCATTTTGCGTCGGGTTGGTCGTCGTCGCATCCGCATAAGACCGGCCTGCGTCTGCAATCTGAGAGTGAATTACACCGTAATTTCGGGTTTCCTCCCAGCCAGGATCTTGGTCCAGGATCACGCTGTACTAACCCATTTTGAGAACCGCCCGAACCTTTTTTGGGCACCTCATTATTGATCATCCCAAGAATGGCCAGCAGTCTTCCCAGGTCCACCATGAATTGTGAATGGTTCATCGGGTTATTTATATTATATGAGCAAGACCCTCTGGATTATTCGATAGACTGAGCTGACCAGCTCGTGCTCCTAACCAATTGCAGGACCATATCGAAGCCTCACTGCGTTTGCCATGGCTTTACTCCGTATCCGTAATGCACAACGTTTCTGACGGTTGAAGGCATATCCTTGGTAAAGAGTACGCATGGAATCTCGAAAATGCATAACGAGGTGAGCCAGAATAAGTGGTCTCGCAGACATGTATCCCCATGTCATCATCGAAGGCTTCAATAGCAAACTCAAGTCGGTGTAAGTGATAGCTTGTGTCTTTTCAGAACTGTGTCATCTCAGTCTTGGCGCCTATCTTGACCAGCTGGTCTCCTGCGTCCTGCGTCCCCATCCACCTGGCCCTGTGCGCCCGAGGTGGTTGCAGATGAACCCTCTCCCTCCAACCGCCTTCGAAGACCCTCGAATTCCGTCCGTCTTCTCGGCGTCTTCACACCGACCATCCATCCGGGAAGGCGCCATTTGGTCAACGCAACAGGGAGCAAGTCGTTCCTCCACGAGTATCCCACAACCCAGCCAACCGCAGCTCCCAGCAACGATCCCGGCCACTGGAAGAGTGCCAGCTGCAAAGCGAGAGCGTAGCGATATGACTTGTCAGAGAAGGTCAATCCGACAAATTGGTCGTTCGTGGGCGGAGCCGAGGAAGCCGCGACGCGGTATCGATAAGTGCTGGGGATCGCAGCATGATACTGCGCGAGTATGGCAAAGATAATCGGGGTTGGGCCGGCTGGCATGTAGTTGAATAGTCCCGCGGTCAATGGCCGTAGTATGATGGATAGGAAAACAGGAGGTATCACTGCAGTGAAGAGCGCGGATACAGCTACAAATGACTGCGGCGTGGTTAGCATTCTTAGGACCATTGCCCAGGTCTCGTGGCAACTCACAGCGTATTTCCTTGATCCCCATATTTGTTCAACGACCCTCAAGTGGTAGAGAGTCATTGATGCGAAGAGCACCTCGCTCGAGTTGGTGCAGCATAACTGGTACGCCAGCAGGCGCCAGAGCTGGTGGTAGCGCCATAGATGGGTATCTACGACAATGTAGAAATAATGCTTGACGTCGAGCAAGCTGACCGCAATGGAGCTCGTCACAAGGCCAAGAACGAGGGTGCGCGTCACTGGCGCATTCGTGAAGGACATGTTGTGGTTGAGCGTCTATCGCATCGTAGGTCGGGTTGCTTTCTCAGCAACACACAATCGGTGGAGGGGCAATCGAGGACGTTCCCTTGCCCTTGGGTTGAGGCGGGTAGGTACCTGTTACTTTGCCAGTTACCACGGAACTTGAGCAGACCGTGTACTGATAGTGTTGCGCAAGTTTATGGTGTAGTCGGAATCGACGTGGGCGGTGCCGGAAAGCGAAGGGCGGCCAGAGGATCGTTGATGCCAGGTGGTTTCTTTGGCTGTCGTCGAACCCACTCGGAGCTGGATGCACAGCTTGTGCCGTCCCTTCTCCAGCACTATGTGTGTGTGTGTGTCCCTGTTTAAAGCCGACTGGACTTTCCCTGGTAAGGTACGGAGTAATAGGTAGTGTACAATTGGGGAATGGCCCCAGCCTCAGGCGTTGCGTCGACGCCACGAAAGAGGTGGACCATTAGAGCGCAAGACCCACATGTTCAGACTTTCCCGTGCAATGACGAGGCTGGCTGCATTGGCTGGACTCGTGGAGGGCTGAGTGTGGCTTGCCCACCCGCCAGATCCCCGGATTGCCATTCGCTCAACGAATTGCTGGGCAGCTTCCCACTCAGTGCCACCCTTGCGTCCCTTGCGTAACCCTGTCACGACGTATTTCAGTGAGGCGCAGAGCTCTGGGCACACGCCGCCGCTGCCGTTACTCCAAGCTTGAGATCCTAGGCGGGTACTTTATCCAAGTTGCCAGCAGAGCTGATGCGACACTCACGTAGTGACACCACTGGTTTCTTGTTCTTGTTTGTAATTCCTTGTGGAAGATATCCGGCCTGCTTTCTCTTCCCAGTTTCTTACTTTCCGAGAAATCCTCTCAACGCATAATTCAGCACATTTACAGCTTTCCATCCCCCTTACGCAGAGCATCGCGCTCCAGAACCCGGTCAGACAGCATGTCGGAAATATTCATCAACCACATCACCCGATGGCTCTTTAGCTCGCCGCCCGCCGAGTGGGCAATAAATCAACTGCGCGAACTCCTCATTGGAGCCTTGAAGCAAGGACCAGTCCCTCAACATGTTGCATTCGAGATGGACGGCAATAGGCGGTATGCCCGCGGCAGGAAGATGGAGACGATAGAGGGCCACCACCACGGTTTCGAAGCCCTAGCAAGAGTGCGCAATCCAAAGGCTTCATCCTGTCCCGTGTGACATTTGCTGACTCTCATGACGATAGGTTCTCGAGATTTGTTACAAGTGCGGCGTCAAAGTCGTGACCGTCTACGCCTTCAGTATAGAAAACTTCAACCGCCCGCAATACGAGGTCGATGGGCTTATGCAGCTGGCCAAGGTGAAGCTCGAACAGTTGACAAAACATGGAGATATCCTGGATCGATACGGCGCGGCGGTTCGTGTGCTTGGACAGAGAGATCTGATCCGCAAGGACGTTCTGGAGGTGGTCGACCGGGCAGTTGACATGACCAAGTACAACAAGCAGTAAGTGGACAGTAGCCACGCAGCAAAGAACCCAGGCTGACAGGAACAGAAACGTGCTGAACATTTGCTTCCCGTATACGTCGCGGGAAGAGATGACAACGGCCGTGCGATCCACAGTGCAGGAGTATATGATGCCCCCTGGACCCAAGTTCACGCCCTTCCCGGCTGCTCGCATCTCGCAAAAGATCATGTCGAAGCAACTGGAGCACCGAGAGCCCCTTCCGACCATCCGGGACACATCGCCAGCTCCTTCTTCACGGTCAGATGATGGTGCGTCGTCGTCGACTACTCTTCCTCCCGACTCGCCTTCACCGCCGAGGCATAACGGTGCCGCAGGCGGGCACTGCCTGAAGAATCCAGAGACTATCACGGCTGAGACACTCAACAATCATATGTACACTGCTGGAAACCCTCCGCTGGATATCTTTGTGAGAACTAGTGGCGTAGAAAGACTCAGCGACTTCATGCTTTGGCAGTGCCACCAAGACACGCACATTTTCTTCTTGAAGTGCCTTTGGCCCGACTTCGACCTGCAGCACTTCTTGCCTGTGCTTCTGGAGTGGCAGTGGAGGCAGAAGCAAATTGAGAGAGACGAGCGGCCGAGACAAGCGACGGCCAAGGCGCGAAAGCTTGCCTGAACCTGTCCAACTGAACATAACGGCCGAAGGTTTCCATGGATAGGCGTTACTTAGTTGATTGTCATTGTTGTGTCTAGCTGGAAAGAACCAGCTTTGAGGTGGTGTGCTCGTGGTAGAGAGACCACAAGGAGGGATGGCGGACCTGATACCACGAAGGAGTGTTTGTAAACCATATTGATATCCATCAAATTCGATTTTCTTAGACAAAGTGTTGTTTATATGTAAGAGGAGACGTTGGCCGCGCATCTGCAAATTATGGCAAGGTATACTTGACGGCGGAATGGCTTCTGGAATGTTACAAAGGAACGCCTACCTTACTCCGGACATGGACTTCTTCAAGTTGTGGCGTCAACGATGCGATACCCCAGGAATGACGCAGTTGATGTGGCTGACCGGAGATTGCCAGTGTTTGCTGAAGGTGCGCTGCGCGCAACACGCAGGCTCCTGTTTTTCTTCCATTTTCTTTCCATGCCGCCAGGTCTCCAAATGGGCCAAGTAAGTGTGGCTGAGGTGTGCGGCGTGCCAGGCACAGAGCTAATGGGAAACTGGGAAGGGACCAACCGCGGGCGGTGGACAGGTTCAGGTGAGCTCCGCTCAGGCCTCAGGCCCAAATCGCTCGCTAAGTGACGGATGGGGTCACTCACTCAACCGGGCAGCCAGTCCAGGTCCTCCTCCGCCCGCGGCAGATAGGTCCCCAAAAGTGCGTCGGATGGATGATGGAAGATCCCGCGGCCTCGCTCTTGATTTTCCTCACGCACTACCCCCTCTCACCAGAAGCATTCTACACCGTCTAGGTTTGCATATCGATCAGAATGCCTTAGGATTCTCAAATTCTTTCTCAATTTTCAAAAATCTCGTTTCCACTGACACGAGAACCCTCTAAACTTTACTCTTCCTCCCCACGGCACCCCGTTCTCGACGCCCGTCACTGCGCCAGACCTTCGTTCTCTCTCCACGACTCTCGACCTCGCGCGTTCCTCGCGACACGCCGATCGACGTCGCGATGAAGTCGGCAAAGACGTCGTCGGGGGATACTCCTTCAAGTCGGAGATCCCAACCGGTTCGACAGACCCGAACCAACCCCCCGCGCGTCTCTTCAGGCCTTCGAGGATCAGCGAATGGCCGAGACTCTCTTGCCGGCGGCTCTGCTTCTGACCAGCCCATCGACATCTTCCCTGCGATAACCTACTTCTCCGATGCCATCGCGGCCCTCCCGAAAGAGCTCGTCCGACACTTCACGCTTCTGAAAGAGGTCGATGCCAAAATATTCGCTCCCGAGGATGCGCTCTTCAAGCTCGTCGACGCTGCCATGAATGCTCCTCCCCCACAGCCCCGACCAGTGAACGATGCGTCAAGCAGTGTCGCCCCTGCCTCAGCTCCGATGAGTGCGCAGAATAGCTCTAGTGGAGGACCTCTGGGTGGCCCGGCTCCTCCCCCGGCTCCCTCGACCGACGGTTCCTACGCGACATCCATCTACGACCCGAGCAACTTTCCCCGAAGACAACTGTTCCGGCAAACGGCTTATAAGATCCAGGAGATGCTTGGGTCATTAGAAGAGAAGAATCATGTCATCTCGACCGCGAACGATGCTCTTCAGAAACAGCTGGCCCGGATTGACGATGTCTGGCCGCACGTCGAGAACGAGTTTACTGAGGAGGCGAAGTGGGGGAGCGATACCCATTGGGCATACCCTGAGAATAGAGCTGCCACCAAGGCGGCACACACCGAGCGTTCACGACGTGAGGGAGCCGCTGCGATCTCGGCAGCTGCTCAACAGCTGGCTGATGAGGCCGCTGCTCGAAGCGACGCGCGCAAGCAGGCTGTCCAAGCCAAAAAGAGTCAAAAAACGCAGGCTCAGCCTCAGGAATCCGAACTGGACGACGCCGAGGGTCGCAGCAAACCAGAACCGACCAAGAAAGGCCATGGAGGTGGCAAGGCACGCAAGGCAGCTGAAGCTGCTGCCAACGTCGTCGGTCTGGGAATCTCAACAAATGGCAATACGAACGGGACCGCGCCGCAACCCAAGAGACGCAAAGTCGAGAAAACTCCCAGTGGAAATAATGCGGCGGAGCGGGCCATGAGCACCGTCTTTGGAGCCACAGCATCAAAGGCGAAGACCACAAGCCCGAGAGAGACCCCAGCGCCAGAAGGCGGCGGTCCGAAGAAGCGAAAGGCGCTGCCGACGGGTACTGGCCAAGCAAAGAAGAGGTTTGTGTTCGCCCTTCTGTTAGCGACAGATTACCATCAAAGACTACTTACTAACGCCTCGTGTAGCAAGAATGGAACCGCCGGCATGTCTCCATCGGTTGCTTCGTCTCCCGTACTGAGCAACTTCCCTGACCCAGTGTTGCCTCGAGGCTCCCCCGCGCCGACTGTGACCCCGGTACCCCCAGCTCCCAAACCTCCCACTGCCTCGAGGGCCAAGCAAGGCACCACACAAGCGGCTGTGGAAGGTGGTAAACAGTCTCGGCCGCCGTCGTCTGCTTCAGCAGCCAAGCCTAACGGAGCTGCGGTGACAGCGCCCCTACCTCCGCCGACGGCCGAAGCGTTGCCTCTCCCCGTCTTGCCCAAGCCCGCTGTTGAAGTAAAGGCTGCCTCCAAGGAGCCCTCCGCGCCTCCTGTGCCAGAGCCGACAAAGAAAGAGCCCGATACGGCTGAGCCAAGCATCAAGCCCAGTATACCGGCGGCGAAGCAAAAGAAGGAAACACCGAAGCCCGAAGAGCCGGAGACACCAGTCGAGACACCAGTCGAGACACCAGTAACAACTGCCCAGACGGTCACCGCTGCGACAGTCACAAAGAGCGGACGGGCTAGCAAGCCTTCAACACCAGCGATGGCGACCTTCCAGGAGGCAGCGAGACCCAAGTCGGCCCGCACTACGGACGGGACGAAGGCAAGCAAACGGAAGAAGAGCAGTGCGGTCATGAACACAAAGACTACCAAGGCGGTGGGCCAGCCCGAAGAGAGTGACGACGTGGATGAATCAGAGATCCAGGCAGGCAAACGCAGTTATGATTATACCGAGGACGAGCCGACGTATTGCTACTGCCAAGGTGTAAGCTATGGCGAGATGGTAGCCTGCGACGCAGCGAATTGCGAGCGGGAATGGTTCCATCTCAACTGCGTAGGCCTCAAGGTGGCCCCCACGGGAAGTTGTGAGTTTGTTATTCCATGTTGGTGGTTGACCGCGGATGTTCGTATGCTAACTGTGAACTAGCGAAATGGTATTGCGAAGTGTGTCTGCAAAAGTTTTCAAAGTCTGGCAAGAAGCTTAGCCACAAGTACAACGTGCTGCCGAATTCCCCGAGCATCTCGGGCAAGCCACGACCCCCTTACGCCTGAGTCGATTGTTACGAAAGCAAATGTGTGGGCAAACTGAGGGGTGGTATATACCACGTTCCAATATGGCGTTGGGTTCATTCTGCCATTTGGCATGGGATGTCTGGTGCAATGCGATTTGGTCGACTCCTGGATACCTTTGAAGCATTCGGGGGCTTATGTGGGAAATGGAATCAAGTGGCTCAAGACACATACAACTTGCTGCCCCCTTTGGGAATGGAGTAAACAGTACATATTGCTGGGATGACAAGAGGCGCGCGGTGTTTTTGTTTTTCGAAAGTGGTTTACCTGAGTTGTTTGGGACACAGAGTCAGCAATCTGGCCCGTCATGTCGAAAGCGTTCTTGTCTTGTAGCCGGTCATCTGCAAGTGGCCACGGTCGGTCTTCCCTCTTTTCCCCCTGTAGTCCCTTGTCGAGGGGATAGACGAGCATCTACGAATAACTGGGAGCTACGGCTCCAAAAAGTTCAAACCATTTTCCCCCGTTGTTAGAGGGGTTCCTCCATGTGCTCGAGGATTCCCCATTTCTTGAGCATTTCCCCTTCACTTTCGGCTCGTGGAAAGAAGTCCTTCTTCGGAAGGTTTCTTCCTTGCTGGCTTTCATGCCGTTCTTCCCCGGTGCTTTGGCCCCAGGAGAGTTTCATACCCCGTGGGTTTTCCCGCTGCGGAAGCTGAGCCGGGCGTCGGACCTGAAGCTCCTCCTCTTCCTCCTCCATGCCTGCCCGGGCGGAGGAGGAGAATGGGGAAAGAGAGCTCGTCCAGGAGCAACGGTATCTAAAATGCATGACATCGTGACTTTTCTTGTCCAAATTTTGACCCAGCAAATGCGGTGAGTGTGAGATCCGGAGGATTTTGGGGGGGGGGGGGGGGGGGGAAGGCTGGTACCGTGATGCAGGGGACCTCCGGTGGGATAGTTCCCCTTCTACGTACCTTTTCGAAGTGCAAATGTCAACGCGGTCTAGGCCCTTGGTTTCAGTCGACGCGGAGAGCAAGAAAGAGAGGCGAAGAGGATGGCTTTTGGTATTCAGGGTTCAGCGCAGCTAATGCCCGAATTTGGCTAGATCTCAAGGTACCTGAGGGAAGGTAAGTAAGGTATCAGGTTGTTGGCTTCTTGATACTCGCTCGCCCCCTTTACTGAGTGAGACCCCGATAAGTCGATGAGTACTTTGTAAGGCACGAATACTCCGTACTTACGTTGGGAGTATTCATAAACGTACCCCATAGCAGAAACGAAGAATTATTGCGGTCGTGACATGTCACATTCTTTTGGGATGTAGTTTTCCGGGGTAAACATCTCCACCTTTTGGAAAATCCTTGACTTAAAATATTCATTAAAAAGGGGGGAAGGGTGGTGTGGTAGCTGAGAAACGGCGTTTCCTCAAACGCCTATGTACAAGATGAATCATGTTGGGTGTGAAAGCTGAAGGGGGGAGTACAGGCTGCGAAATCTGTGAATGTGATCTGAGGCTAAGGCTAATGAGTGTGTACCTACAGGTGTGCTGTTGTCCGAGGTGGTATAAATTTTCCTATCCGAGTTTGGTCTTGGTTTATTTAGGTCGATACGATGAGAATAGTATTTTTGAGGGGAAAACCTGGGGTAAGTTTGACGGGTCCTGAGTGGCTGGCTGTGCTGGATGGAGGGCGCGAGCGCGGCAGGCATCTTTTTGGGCTGTAATACGGAGTACAGTAGGTTGTGGTGTGTGTAGTCAAACTTGACTGTGGGACAAACCCGAGGTTTGCAACTTTGCAGTTTGAGGAAAGTTATGCCGCTTGTTGCCTAATGGTTCATCGATGGGAAAACCAAGAAAAAAAGATGGTAAGACACGCACCAGGTACGCGAGGCGGCGAGGCCCCCCTTTTGACGGAACATCGCCTCCAGGGGACTTTCGTCCGTACTACGGATACTTGGACAAGTTCAAGTAACCTTGGGTGCTTAGCTAGGCTTAATTCTCAGACTTGTTCCAGAGATGCGGCTGGTCAGTATCGTCGTTTTTGTGGCACTGTTGTTGTTGTTGTTGTTGTTGTTGTTGTTTCTACGTTGCGCGTGACCGACCAGTAGAGGGAAAACCATGACTACAACAGCTATTACTATGACTAACAGCAAAAGCACCATGACGGGGTCGGGGGCAAGTCATGAGAAACACCAGCGACCACGGCACGCGGTGTGAGTATTACATCGCCCCCTCCAGACATCTACTACTCAAACAAAAGCTACAATAACGAACTACCAACTAATTTCAATACTAAAAAAAAACCAAAAAAACCTCAGAAATATAAATTTCGAGTTTTAAATAACGTACCACGTTTTTCTCTAATAAAATGGATGATAAATGGGCGTAATATTCGTTGGATTAGAGGTAGTAGGCGATTCTGGAGAGGGCGATGTATACTTCACACCGCGTGCACGGCTGGCTGAGAGACATTGGCATTGGCATTGGCATTGGGGCAAGCCCCCCCCCCTTGATCCCTGGCTTATTCTTTTTGTGACGAACGTGCGAGGAAAGCATGGCGCCATTTGATGGGGAGATGGAGACATTGCTCTTTCTCGACTAATGACTACTACGGCGTGTACGGTGTACGGAGTATACGGCATTGGTGTTTTGGACAGATTTCGATTCACTACTCCGTATGCTTGCTCGCCTTGCTTTTTGTCGTTTTTTTTTCTGCTTTTTGCAATGCGCGTGACGTTTAGGACGGCTGTGTCGGTTTCTACGGGTTTCTCGGTTTCGATGCTCGTCTAATTCTTGGTTATCAGACTGAGTATTCTCAGTTTCAGCAGTTAGTAAGTGAATTGAACGTCGAAGTCGGCGATGGGGCCCAACAATAGATGGATGGGTGTGAGGTCCGATGCTTCGCTTTTACAGTTTTGCAGCTCTCTCTCTCTCTCTCTCTCTCTTTCGGTCTAGATTTGATGGACCGAAGCCTAGAGGAGAGCACACATGATGCTGGAACTAAGCAACCTAGACCCAACACCGACAGGGTGGCACGAGGCGGTTGGCCTCGGTTCTGAACTTCTGTCACGCTTGTTTCTCTTGCCTTCTCTCTTTGCACTAGTCTCTGGCTTTCAGGGTTGGATAATCTGGGGCAACACCACGCGGCCCCCCAGCGACCCCGACATTTTCGAACCCGCCAACCGGAGATCCGCTAGGATGCCACGGGTGCTAGGATCTTCCCGCTCATTCGTACGAGTGCTTCGTACCTTTTTTCTGTCCTGTACTCTTGGTCTGGGATCTACTTGTCCTTGTGCTACCTTAGTAGGTGACAGGGTCTGAGCAGGGAGGGACAGACAGACAAACGCCGGCGGCGGCATCAAGTGGTGAGAGGGCTAGATCTGCAGATAGACAGACAGACTGACGCCGGGAGTCTTGCGATTTGCAAATCCCATCTGGGCTTATTCCTGCGTGCGTGCCAATGTGTAGGAGCTAGGGGGGTACGGATGCTCACTACCCACCCAGTTGCAAAAGAGCTGACCGTGACTGACTCTTGCTCTAGCAGACTGGCATTGACGTCTAATGATCTACCCTGGGACGGGACTCGAGACCTGGGGGAATCGTTCGCCCTGCGCTCGCCGCTCGGGAAGGCCTTCCAGGCGGTCCTTCTTTTCAGCTCGGAACCCCCTTGGGCCTTTGGTACCGCCGCCTCAGACTTAATATTTTTGCCTGCCTGAAATGAAGGCGCGTGCTCGCTTTGGCGCACAGCCCGAGTTTTGTTCTGCTCGCTTCGTTCCGGCAGTGAAGGTCAGACGACCGATTGATGAGGTGGCCCTGGAGCATCCCGTCCGTATCCGGTCGAAGAACGGTTTTGAAATGCCAAGCAACTGTCTAACGCCTGTCTGTCCCAGTCTTTCCGGATTGCTGGGGACCTGGATACTTGTCACCTTATTGTTGTTTTCACTTCGTCAGAGGTGCGTGGTAGTTGTGTGTGGTTGAGATCGGGCGACCATCCGACAACCGGAACGGCCGTCTCGGGTGCGGTACCGGTCCTCTCTCTCGGCTTTGTCGTGGAATTACACCACGTAGTCAGCGACATCGCAAACACCAAGGCTTTCAGTGACAGAGGTTGGATATTAGCGGGCTCTCTCGGTGTTTGAGAGGGAGCGCCGCTGGCCACGGCGGCACCGCCCTAGAAACCTGGAAATGCCGAGCCGAGGAGATGCTCTTTCCTGGCGTGACTCTGTGTCACTCTGTGAGGGTGTCGGTGTGCGTATCTGGGTGTGAGATTCCCTCATCTTACCGGAGATCAAGTCTTGTCGTCGACGATCTCTGGCGCAAGAGGCTGCATATGCTGCAAGAGTTGTCATGGATTTGGATGTCGTTGTCGATTTTGCTTTTATTCTTATGCACCAAGAGAGGTTGCAATACAGAGTAGTGTACCTTACGGTACGTACCCAAAGGCAGTGTAGCACTGCGTCAAAGTGCGAGCCGGGCGGGCAGGCACGTCGTAGGAATGGCAGGAATGGAAGGAGCAAAAGGTACTTTGTGCAAAGTATCTCTTTTCTGGGCTTAGGTAATCTGACGTCTTCTAGGGTACTTGCGTGACTCGACTTTTCAGAGCGAGCATTGGAGCCATGATGAAAAGTTTTCCCAGTTTCCATTACTCGTCGATTGTATCCATTACGTTTCCGAACCGCACTTCTTCGCCTCATCTGATCACTTCCCCAAGCCAAGCTTTCCAATTACACAAACACGCAGCCAGTTCAGCTCCCAGGCGGAACCAGGCACCTCAGCTCTGCGCAGCCCTCGGCCCCAGCGTGTGCTGTCACACAGTCACGCTCACACTTCTCCCAGTCTCTTCCCCGTCGTTTTCTAATGTGGAATTGGATCGTCCCTTTTTTTTTTCTATCAGTACCAAGAATCCCGAACCATCATCCATGATCCCTTGGACTCGGTTCTGGGCCCCGGTCTTTTCTCTCTCTCTTTTTTTTTTTTCTCCTTCTCCAGCAGGACCGAGTGACCGACCACCATCGACCGACTTTGCCTTGCCAGCCGCTCAACTTCCGTACGC